AGGATATGTAGTACTGTGTGGAGCTGTAGTGAGCTGTCCAGCAGGGACCAAGCTGTGGAGCTTGCATGCTGTACAGCTCTGTACAGCTCTGTACAGAACATTGTAGTTTACTGATGTTTGTGCTGTTCAAACGTTCACTGGCGCCATGGTTATATTATGTTAGGTTCGTAGTATATATTCCAATTTGATGTCCTTTCAAATCACCTCCTTCGTACGTGTTTAATGAGCGCTATTTCTCACTTAGCGCTGGCACGGCTTGCTGGGGTGCTCGAATCTAGGGTCTCTGCTATAGTTTGGCCCCATTTCTATTGTAAGTTATATATATCTAATTGCATGATGGTGCCAATGCTTTGACTTGTGGTTGCCACACATGCTTGCCACCCTTAAGTACCACCTGTTTGGCAGCACTGAAGAAAACACAATAAAGCGATTGCTAGAATAGATAAGTGAGTCGCCTCTCCCGATATACAGCAGGATTACTTAACGAGTACGTCGTGGCTGCTTTGATGTGAATTCTCAAGATCAAGTAGCGATCTACTATCCTTCATAGCGCTGCTGTGATGTCGAGAGATGACTGCGTATAACGGGATTCGTGGTGAATGCGAGGAAATTGTGATACATGGTGAGGGTCGGTCGGGTTCAATTGGCCGAGCTTAGGGGATGGCATGTGCTGTGCCGTCCTACGCGGAGAACCTGGAGACTAGTCTACTTGAAAGATCCGAATCTTGTATGATAATGGGAAAGATCCTATCCTATGAATTGTCATGTCATATGACTCAAGGGTCGTCTTGTGTCGGCGGGCACATGAGAGCACGCTAATGTGTCGCTACAACCTGAATGAAACCAAACACATCCGCGGACCCGGCCGAAGGGTACATTCGATGAGGGCATACAACGTGCGGGGGCTCATCTAAATTTAATTATCAATTGCTTCCAAGATCTTACACATTGCTTGGTGAAGCCGCATTACGCGCCCACCGCCCGGCGTTATAGGGGACGCCCAGGATTCGTCCACACTTCACTGATCTGAGTGCAATAGATAGACCATGATGTTCATGGCTCTCATGCAAAACAGCAACCTTGCAAATGATTTACATGCATGGCATTGAAAGGTGCTAGCTTGTCCGAAAATCAACTGATGAATAAGTCAATCAATCTCAAAGCCTCAAGCTCGAGTAAGGACAAGAAGTTAACACAAGCTCACCGGGGTGCTGACATGTCACAATTTAAAGTACATGTCAGACGTCTCAGAGTCGAGGCGCGACTCAAACAAACAACTAAACCTACTGAAAGAATTGACCATCGGTGGGTACTAATACGAAGTTGACTCTAAACAAGAATTGACCAGTACGACGTTAGAGAAAAGGAGGAAGTACTCTCCGAAGACAAATATTATGTAAACGAACAAACGAGAATAAACATCACGTCTCGTGACCAGAACGCGAAAGGGATCATGACAGTACACCAATATGATCTTTGCGAGTCACTATGTCGCAGTTCGATATCCGACAATACGAAATGACATTGGTTCCTACTACAGAAACGTGGCGGTGTCTACGACTATAGCAAGTTGAAGTACTGAGCAGTTTGGGCGAAGGCGCGCAGCGCCTCCCGGTCCCGAGCTGCGTGTCCTGCAAGAAGAAGGTGAGCTGCGAGGGCGGGAGGGAAACAAAACCATCGCAAAACACCTATGATAAGCTTGAGGACGCAGTCCGAACCACTGGAGGAGGATAGCGATGAGTGATGCTGAAGCATCGCGTGTTTTATAAGGGAGCGGTGGGTGGGGAAAAGAAAACGAGGAAAGACCGACATCGTTGATAACGACTGAGACGAGATGGATGCGTCGTCACAGTACGGAGTGGTGCGGTGGAGGTAGTATCTAATACTTGCAGCTGGACTTTGTCGAGCTTACTTGTTAGGCTTAGAATCAATATTGGTTTGGCGCTGTTCGAACTGTGCTCTGGAGTAGGGGACGCCGCTCTCATAACAAACTTGCTAAGTGATACTGTCAGTCAATATGCGGGAACCATCTGTACATGTGATGATTATCAATCAACATCACGGCGGAAATACAATTTGTGAAAGTAAGATTCGAATCAGCGAAAACATGTGGTCGGCACAAGTACAATTGCAACCTAGGAACTGTGTATGATTGCTGTACATGTGCGAGGCTAAATGTCTTTGAACCTTGGTTAATTATAAGATTGGCATCTCGCTAAAGTTGACGTCGTGGAGTTCTCCTCACACCATTCCCCATGTCAGCTGTCACAAACTCAGTTCCGCTAAAGTTGACGTTGTGGCTTCTTCTAACTTTTATCAGCAATAAATGGTACCCCTACCCATACATAAGCAAGCTCAATGTACTCACCACAGCCCTCACAACCCATCTCCGCAATGGACGCTTCCACCACAGCATACCCACCCTGTGATTCAGATGAGTCACATTTGCCTCTCGTCACTGCCCCACCTGGGGATACTAGTGCTACAACGAGGCCATCATCCACCCATGCTGATGGCACTCCGCTGCCGAGTCTCACACAGCCAACTCCGAACCCGAGTAATTGTGTCATCATCATACAAAACAATTACATTGCGGAGGGGGGAACCATCAACATATTTTCAAGTCACTGCAACGGTTCCAGTGAGCTCTTCGCATGTCTGACTTACTAGAGGACTTACCTTGTTAATAAGCTGTGACCAAGTTGAATCACGTCACACTAACTGCAGAGCCCACGTCCTCGGAGCCTCCATTGGCGAGGCAGGCAGAGCCAGTGGAGCACGGTGGTGAAAGCATAGTATTGAGCGGTAACTCATTTGGCGAATGCGTCATGATAAACGTAGGATCGCCAGACTGCACTGGAGCTGGTAGGTCATTCAGTTCATCTAAAATAAATCGGCTGTATGATCATTCGCAACAGTTAAACAAACCGCTCTTGCGTCCCAAAGTGACCGCAACGTCTAGCGGGAGGAAGGGTTTGCTGGTCTTGTAATGCATTCACCTGTATCTGTATGTACTACGCACATATAGAGATGCAGTTTTTCTGGGCTTAGTGCTCGTGGTCATTTCGACATGCTTGGCTCCCCAAGGGTAAAAATGAGCTCGCAAATTGAATAACGAGATTGACACCCACGGGAAGAACACTAATTGCATGGTGGTGGTCCCTCGGAACGTCCCATGCTTTCTCTGGAAATTTTGTGTACTTCGCAGGCATTCGAAGGGCAACTGGTTGCACATTATGTATCGTAGCGCAAGTAGCATACAGAATCCCACAAAGGGCAGTGCTGCTCGAGAAAATGCGCAGCAGGGGATGGCAATAACTATATTTCGGTGACAGCATTACAATTCACAGGGGAATTGGACTCACTAATGTGGTACCATCGAACGACTGCTTGAACCGACTCATTTTTCTCGCTCGGTCCTGGAACCCAATATATGTTCCCCCCATAGCTGGCAACTCAGGCAACAGCCTACCCATCATGACATGGAAGTTTGAATGAAAATATCCCCACCAAAATCCTATCACAAAGACGATGTGCCCATAGATTTTAAAACCGAAGATACCGGTCTCCGAGAAACCCAGCTCGGGTCGTTCATGTTGAGATTATGCTCGATGATCTCCTTGACCCACGGTAATCTTCTCGTTACAAAAGATATAAGATAGATATTGAAAATACGGATAGTGTCACGAGCTTTCGAGACAGTCTTTTGACCAGTGAGTTGGTTTGAAAACTTTGTGCGGGTAAGGCACTCACCGGTAGGCAATCACATTCGCCAACAGATGCTAGTTGAGGCGAGGACGAGTCTACTTTGTCACAGTCGCAAACCTTGAGTCTGCAAAGACCTGCACCCAAACCGGCCGTAACTTGCACATTCACGTTGAAGTGGCAAGTCTGGCAGTCACATTCACGCAAGCTGACTAAGCTGCTCGCGGCTAGCCGCTAGTCGTTCTATGTTGCAACTTGCAAGTCCGAGCGCTAAAACCATAGTACTAGTGGCGCTTCAGGTTCACGTCAAGATCCTTTTGCCAAGTTCTTTTAGTCCAGCTTCACTTCTACTACCACCTCGCCGCATCTCTCAACCCAGCGGCTCTGTCTTCAAGTTGGGGATTCCGGATTCTACCTCCTTCGCTTGGCACGCATCGATTTCCTTGCCCATCCACCCGCCACATCTGACTCCAGCCCCCGCTGGTCTTTGGGAGGACTTGTCTGATGCTCTCTCGCATGTATCTCTTTCCCCCGTGTCTTCGTACTAGGCCAAAGCCTGAACATTTTATCAGAAGTGCCAAACACTCAGGCTGGCAGTCCATCCGCTCATGGGATTTCAGCATCTGCTTGCATAGCCCATCGCTTCTATTTTTACTGGGCAAATGCCGAACTGCCACTTAGGCTTCTGTGATTAGTGACAGCGAAGTCACGGTTCACAACAAACTCGCTGAGGCTACATGATCATTAATGTCCTGGCGCGGGCGCGTATCCCATAACTACACGACGTGGTGTGCGCATACCACCAAGACACAGGTGCCCTTTGGTGAGTATCCATTCATTACAATTATCTGTGAGGCAATCTCGATGTGTCGGACCGGCACCAAGCTTAGGTGCGTATGGTTTGCCCCTCTCCGAATTTTCGGTACATTGCAACATCTACAGAGACATATTGTACACATAAGACAGAAAACCAGTAATCAACGTTAACCTCTGCCACTTCATTCCGCTAGATGGGGCTGATTTAGGATGCAAGAGCGGTTTGTTTAACTGGTACAAACAATTAGTAAGGCTTCTGCTCGTCCAGATCAACCAAACGACCTACCAGCTCCAGTGCAATCTGGCGATCCTACGTTTATCATGACGCACTCGCCGAACGTGTTGCCGCTTAATACGATACTTTCCTGACCGTGCTTCGCAGGCTCTGCCTGCCTCGCTGACGGAGGCTGCAAGGGCGTGGGCTCTGTAGTCGCTGTCACGTGATTCAACTTGGTCACGGCTTATTTACAAGGTGAGTCTTCTGGACAATTTCTAGGAGTCAAACATGCGAAGAACTCACTGGAACCGTTACAGCGACTTGAAAATATGTTGATAGTTCCCCCCTCCGCAATGCAGTTGTTCTGTATGATTATGATGCAGTTGTTTGGGTTCAGGGTTGGGTGTTCAAGATTTGGTAGGGGAGTATTATGATCATCAGTCACAGAAGCATGTCCGGATGATATTGCACTAGCATCTCGGAGTGGAGCGATAGTGAGGGGCAAACAGCACTCATCTGAAGCACAAGATTGAAATGCTCCAGTAGAAGGATCCATTGTAAATATATGAGAGGAGGCGCACTTCTCCCTGCTACGAACGGTCTTTTAAAGGTAACTTATTGGCGCCTCGTGTACAGGGTGGCGGACAAGGATGACGGGATTAATATCTCGGTACGCTTCCCCGATTGAATTCGAAAGCGAGTATGGTAAATAATAATGTTTTGGCCGCTTTTGTTCGATGGGTCGAAGGAGAGGAACGCGCCAGTTCCGTAGGACTGTATAGTTACCCCGCACGACTTTGAGTCCGTGTTCAACACGTTGTCCCCCACACGATAAGATAAGCCCACATAAGCTTCTATATTTATGCCATCTTGCGCCCAAGTCCCAAACGCAGTGCACTTAGCCTCAGCTGTGATAACCAACGTTGCGGTATTCGCCATAGGTCCTGCAATTCATTGCCGGAGCAATCACTATTACAGTATCATGTCAGATGATACTCAGGTACACTCCTACGTTTTGTTGATGGTTTGTGGGATAATGGTCCTTCGCTCATCGGATGCATCATGCACGGCCCACGGGTGAAGCTTTGAGGCTTTGATGTCAGTTGCGTCTTATGTAAGTACAATCGGCTTGAAGCTCCGAGTCCAAATACTTGAGAGCATAAAATAAAATTAGGTGCGCACTGATTTGGCACTGATGCCTGGCATGTGAGCCTTGTCGTAAATGATCACCGGCAGATACCGCGAACACTTGACCTCAATGGATGTAATACGAGCGCCCTGGGCCGATGTCCACTCACGAAATCATAGTATTTCTCTATGACTTGCGAGTCGCCTTGTATATAAACAGGATTGACCGTTCATTCAGTAATTATGATATTGTCTGGAGTCTGGACTAACAGGTCAAAAGTTATCTGTCATAAGATCATCAAAGTCTTTGATTAACGTATACCCTACCCTGGCAAGAAACAGATCGCACACTCCACTCAAACAGGGGAGTCGTGTCCCCATCGCCACACATAGTAACTCAGCATTTCCCGAAACATACCCATGCATGTCCCTATTCACTCAATTCCACAGCCCCCGTTAAAGCTCCACGACGTGGCCCATTATGCAATAATTTGAAAGCATGTCGGCAAGTACAAGTTTCGGTATTAATGAGTCACGCAGTTCTGCTAGGGCGTGCTACAACTTGTTGACGTACGTGGCGTCAAGACTCAGGGATGTTTCGGCATGGAAGATCCTGTATATTCACGCAGCCGTCAAAGCATGTCGGGGGCCCAGAATCTTCAAGCTTACTTTAGAGAAAAATAGAGCTATGGTTCAACCCACTTCACGTGCCATCAGTAAACGCACGTTGTTGTTCTGATAATAATTGATTCTGGAAGTTCGCCTAGTCCTCAGAACACAGGAAATATTTGCAATCAGCCAAGAGCATGTCCTTGACGCCTAGTTGCAGCAAAATAGAACTCATAGGATGCTTCTGACGAGCTCCATTCCAACACCAACATATATGTCCTCGGAATGGAAATGGATACGTTTGTGCCTTGATGACAAGCCTAGACTCGTGTACCAGCCATGGAATTATGGACATGATGTTCAGCATTATTCTCGTGCTCCGCTTCAAAAACGAGTTCTTCAAAATGTCATTGTTGTAAGCGATCACACTCCAGAGCAAAAAGTATGTTGAAGTAACAGCTTTAACAAAACTTGCCTAATCTTCATAGCAAAGCCATGGTCATACCGCAGCCCGGGGTAGCGCTTGGTCCTGGGACCTCTATCAAAACGTGTTAGTATTCCAAGGACAATGCCGAACAGTAGTAACATACCCGAAGCCAATGGCCACGGTAATAAATGGTGTGAGTTGTAACTAGCAAATCATTCAGCCACAAGGAAGCTATGTATATGTTTGACATTGAGCACCATCATGCGTTTGCAACGTCGACGTTCGTGTACGACAACATCTTCATCTTCCTCGTCCAGGCCACCCGTCGTTGACTGCGTGAGACCAATATGAGTGGCCAGTAGTCCTAGTGATGATTTCGGGTTAGCTGCGCCCCCAGGCTGGTAGCATCAATGACATTCATGGGTTGGTCATGTTTAAATTACTACCGACCCCGGGAAGCCCCGGGAGCGTTCCTGTACAAACTGTACAGTCATGTCATGTTGCTGTCGAGGCTGTTTTAACTGTTTTGACAGTCCCCCGATGCACAACAAGTTTCTGTAGCGAAAGTGTATCAATACATTCACTGCTCCTCAACGGATGAAGACCTATAACCGTCATGAGTAGCCGAGAGATGTGTTCAGGAAGTTAGTATCCAAGGGGCATCAGTTTTCGTAACTTCATCAAGAGCAGAGTCTGACCTGCGGTGAAAGTGAATATCTTCCCCAACTCCCACAATATTAGGGGGAATGGTGGTTTCCCATCTTACAAAAAGTATTCCCACTCCGCGAGAATATTCCATGGTAGTTCATTGAAACTCCTCCCAGAAAATGACCTGCTTGTCGTCCTCCATCGTTCCCGACTCCCACGGAGTGTTGACCACAAACATATTCCCATAGATGCCCATGCGTCACTTCGTCTGCACTGCGAGCCGTGCAGGCGTCCTCGGTATTCGCCGCAGTGTTGACAGTGACATTTGATTGATAAGATGCATCTATAAGCTTCATTGCAATTTTGGGGCAACTGAAGGAATCGTGACACTCCAATTGAGCCGGGCTGCGCCTACAACGAACAGCAGTCGATAGGTCGTATGAACTAAGGCTGATGTGAAATTTAACACCTCCGCAATCAAAGTTAATGTTACGACTGTGGTTGATGCTGCGCTGACCGTCATCATTTTTCAGACACAGCCTATCTGATCGCGCTGGAACATGTTGAACTTGTGAAAATGCGAGCTGTTACTGTGACTGAGACTTTTCTGTGACATCCCGTTACATCTCGTGACAAACCATCACGTTTCTGCGAAGTGACCATAGTGGCCTTTCACCAAAGTCTGGCTTCATTTTCTACCACAATTCATCGTGCATGGTTCTGATAATACAGCTATAGGGCTCACTGTCTGTTGTCTTTAAAATGGACCAGCCCGTCCTTGTTTATGCGTTCACTGCTCTGGCCATCTCGTTACCTTGTGTGAGTGCTACGTCAACGTTTGGTCTTTCACTTTTGTATGATGAGCGCCCATTTCATCCTTGTTCTTCGAGCCACGGGCCGTCTCTCAAGACGATGCGCCGCAGCGACGACGACAAACCCTGGGACAGGGAATCATTTCCCTCTTGTCTGACTTTCTTCTCCATACTATACTCGAATCTTTGGCAATTTCACTAATCATCACTAGCTCTATCTAGCTCTCATCTTGCTTTCGCCTCCCCCAATAATAACCCGACCATCAGAAAAGACATACCGCTCACGGAAATCCCTCAAAGACCCCCTCAACCTTCCATCTCTCGCCGATACAGGCTCCATTGATCTCAGTGTCATCATTCCCGCCTACAATGAGACATCCCGTCTCCCATCCATGCTCGAAACCACACTAAATCATCTTAAATCAGCTTCCATACGCAAGACACGCACATACGAGCTCGTCATCGTCGACGACGGTTCAAAAGATGACACGTCTGCACTCGCGCTAAAATTGGCACAGCAGCACCTCAAATCCGATATTCGCGTCGTCACGCTCGAAAAGAACCTTGGCAAGGGCGGTGCGGTACGCCATGGTATGCTACACGCACGCGGAAACAGGCTGTTGATGGTTGATGCAGACGGTGCAAGTCGTTTTGAGGACTTGGAGCTGCTATGGAAGAAGATGGACGAGCTTGGGCCGAAGAATGAGCCGGTGATGGTTGTCGGCAGTCGAGCGCATCTCGTCAAGACTGAAGCTGTGGTCAAGGTGCGCCTTGTCTCCGATGTGACATGACTAGCTTCTTACACCGCTCTCTGTTAGCGCTCCGTGCTTCGCAACATCCTCATGTATGGCTTGCACACTATTCTGCGCATAGTAGGCGTAGGGCACATTCGTGACACGCAGTGCGGATTCAAACTCTTCTCCCGCCGCGCCGCACAACAAATTTTCCCTGCCCAACATCTTGCCACTTGGATATTTGACGTCGAACTCCTCCTGCTTGCGAAGCAGCTGGGTATACCTGTTGCAGAAGTCCCTGTACAGTGGCATGAGGTGGCGGGGAGCAAACTGAATGTTGTCAAGGACTCGCTACAGATGCTTAGGGATCTGCTCGTTCTCCGCGCTAACCAACTCACCGGACGATGGAAAGTTTCCCCATGATATACCATCACTCATGGAAAAGTAGATTTTTGTCTTTGCGCACGGTAGATGTGTTCTCACTGGCTCTGCAAAGACAACTTGGAATATATCGTGATTGTACATAAAGCAACATTAATTGTTATATATGTAGCATTGCAGGCCGAGGCATGGCCGCGCTGGAATACTTATTGTAAGATATGTGACGAGTGCCAGTATGAGGAGGACTATGGCCACAGTGTCATGCCCGTACTTTGAGCTTCTACAGTGTTTCTAGACGTTGAATGTCCAATTTCCACTTGAATCCTCCCCGGTTATTGCAGTGAACGATTTCAATGCGAGAATGCGGGACTCTGTCGATTCAGACGCCAACTTCATTTCACGGACATGTTCATCTCCCAACCAGACTGGTACTCGCAACTTCAATGTAGCACTCTGTTAGACATGCCGCGCTGTCTGCGCACATTTGGGAGAATTGAGGTGTTCGTTCAATTTTTTAGTCAAGTGTGCGCTACGTTTGTGGATGAATGCAATTACATAATTGCATACATTCACAAACTTAGCGCACGCACAGTCCTAGAGCAAACTAGAACGTATCTGTATGCTGAATCGGATGAATATGCGTTGTCAGTGGCAACCATGGTGACGATTCGGCTGGGGAAAAGAGCAAGATAACAACGAGCTGAGACCTAGCCTCTTGTTGTCTTCGTGTTTGACAGCATGTGGACTCTGTATCTGTACATTCATGGTGTTGAATAAACGATTTGATGATCGACCTAAACGACCAACGTACCAGTCAAGGTAGCGGGGGACGCTGACCCTACGTCGAACAGTAAGTATGGTATGACACATGAACCCGAAAGGATGAAAACGATCCGCCCCATGAAATATGATTCAGAACCATTTTGAGGAAGATTTAAAAAAATATTGGCGGTGCAGTTGATGGTCACCACTGACTCGCGGACCCAATGACCATTTACTCTCCACTATCAGTAGCTAGTCTCGGTTTCGAATTAATCGGAAGAGAAAACGTGCACAGGTCTCTCCTGCGATTTTCGCATATCTTCTCTCAAACTGCGACTTCAGCTCCAGAACGTCAGAAAAGGTTTGGAACCTGGTGTCGGGGACTACGCAAATTACCTCCGAAGCATTGTGTAAGCACCCATTCCAACGTTTTGATGGGTGGAATGACTCTGGAAACCGCCTGGGTGTCATGGCGATAACGCTCGGAGAGATACGAGGGAGACAGAAAGGGAAAGGAGTGTGCAATCTGGCAGAGAGAAAGACAGGAGGTTTCATTGGGAGCGTGCGACTAATCGAACAAACAGGAATAAACACACCGAGGGGTGTCTACAGGCTTTACCCTAAACCCATTACGATTGTTCTGAGCAACTACTAAGTGCTACTTTTAAAACCACTGTTTCCCCCTTGATGAACCATTAGTGACTAGTAAAGCTCGGGCGCACTGCCAGAGACGCAGTCTGTCTCCAGAGGTACGTTTATCACCGCTCTGACCGGTGACTTATAAATCCTTTCTATCGCACTCCTCTTGCGCGCAGAACTATTTCAACTTTTGATCGCATCACATAAGTCGAACTGCCATACATCGGAGTGTCTCTTTCTGCACCAACCTATATATCGCGCACCATACATTGTGGTTTGTTGATGTTCACTGTGTTTTGGTTTAGTTTCGTCTCTCTTCGCGGTCCTTCTCCACGCAACTCCAGAACTTCACTCATGACAATCACCTCGAGCCAAGTGCTTTCTCTCATTTAGGTTAGCGCTCTCCAAAAATACTTCTTGATGAACTGCACCGCTGGTATATAAAATGAATTCACAGGACGCTTCTCGTCATTCCTATATAATGGGGTCCTCGTACATTCCCAAGCAATCTGAGTCACTCTCGCCATGGTTTCAACAGGCGTCCCACTGGATACCGCTACTATAATTTCAACAACGCTGGAAGGCATCTTGTATGGTGAGTATCGCGATGATCGTTCATCCCATGCCCGTCAAGCTAGGGACCTTCAGGATTTTCAGTCCTCATGTTTATTGGTACCATGTGGGCATCGACCTACAAACCTGACGTCAATCGCTCCATAGCTTCGGTGGCAATCCTATTGTTGATGCTAAGTACTGCAGTGAGCTTCTCGTCTCTTACATCTGTGTCATTTACTGAATTCTCTCAAGCACGTAGTCGTAGACATAATTCGTCTCGAAGATGGACTTGTCAAGTATCGCGATACTTTCCCTGGCGGACCAGCGGCGTTCTTCCAAGACATTAGCCAGCCAACGTTTGTGGCCAAGAATCTGATATACGCCTTGCAAACTATGATTGGCGATGGGGTGGTGGTGTGTTCGGTTTTTATTTGCCAGTTCAAAATTTTCTGGGCTTAAAAGAGCACCCCGTTTGGTAAAAGATTTATCGCTGTTATGTTGTTTGGCAGTCCGTCTGGGTTATCATCATACCAGTCATACTGTGGTGCGGCTCCTCAGGTTAGGTCGTCATCGTGCTTCATGGTGTCGCGTGTTCTGATTTTGCATCGAAGCGGCTGCTTTAATTGCGCCCTACTACGCTTCGCAGGCGACTGGCGGAACTATTTACACTAATCAAACTGGACGATGGATCACGGTGTTGTTTGCCTTGACACTTTCAACCAATATGATAAGTTCAGGTAAGCATGGCGATGTCGAGCGCTCACAAAAACCTGAAATGATCCAGGATTACTCGCGTATCGCATCTGGACGATCGAACGCAATGTGTCTTTAATTCGCGCTACGAACGGTACCATGATGCCTATCGTGCGCGTGCTCGTGGATGCCGCCATCATGTACTCTGCGGCGCTCTTCACCATACTTATGTGTTTCGTCTGCGCGAACAATGCCGAGTATATCATGTTAGACATGGTAATTAACATCATTCACACTCGGTAGAAAATCATGCTGAATTTCGATTAAGATCATGCCGATTATCTCGATTACCTTCTACATGGTGTTTATTCGCATCACGCTCAGGAAAACCACTCCTAATTACCTCCCGATGATCTATGGCGCGGGAATCGATGGGAGAAGGGACTCGCAACAATATCCTATGAAGCCTTTGCAGGTCCATATATCCCGGTGGACACAGAATGACATGGATTAGAGTGGGATGGAAGCTGACCGCTGAGATGCTAGGCAAATTATACGGATGGAACGTCTTGCAACGTGTAAACAGCCTAAGAATGTAAAGGGCAGCAGTTCTAGCTCTTGGTCGGGTTTCAACATTCAAGGAGACAGAAGAGGTAAAGTCCCACTTGATTTCTATTGTATTTTGTGCAAATCTTCGTCTCGGAACACATATGTACACATATAAATACGTTCAAAGCACCCTGCAGGCAGGTTCGCTGTTCGTTATGCAGTCTCGAAATACAGTTCCGATATACTCACAATTGTGCGTGCAAGCCAAGGCAAGCCATTACCAGACATTTATTTTGTTTCTCATTTGAAAACTCGCTTAAGGCATGGTTTTCACCATCACACATCCGGCTCGAACACATAGTACACTTTAGTTCGCAAACAAGTGAATAATTGCTACTTGATGGCGCACAAGACAAGAAATTGTCGAGTGCCACCGTACGATCAGCTTGACAATTTTGCGCTGCAAATCATTGCCTCTTGCTTTCAAACTTTCCGTCATCATACGGCCCAACTACTAAACTGCTGCACGACATCAAGATACAAAACTAAACACCAGAAAACATCAAGTACAGACAGCAACGATAGCAATGTGATTAGCGTGTATACGGGAGTGAAATAAAGATAGCCCAAAAGATGTAAAATGGCAAATGTTGCACGACTCTATGCGCGAAAAATCCAAGATAAAAGAAAACAGATCGTCCATGGGTTGATGAAAGACAAAGAGGCCAAAGAGGCCCACCGGCATTAAGCTCGTCATTTCCTTCGCCGCTCGTTTGCTATTGTCAGCATTTTCACTAGGCTTGATTCAAAGACAGGTTTTGTCAAGATGCTAGTAAAAATTTAGTTGGATTTGAACATTATGAACTACGGAGCCACATACTGGTTTACACCCGCCTCGGAGTATTCTTTTTGGTCGTTGATGAGCGCATTACCTGCTTCGGCGTCAGGATACCTAAGGGCACAATTCAACCGTAGCACTGACCGGTAATTCCAACGACGAAATCGCCTCTACCCATTTCTCGAAGTTTGGAGACTACCTCCAAACCAGTCATAATTGGCATCTGATTGTCCAGAAAGACAACATCATATGAACTAACTTCGCCATCCTCAGCCCCTTGGTCCTTTTCACTGTCATGACTAGAGTCAAAGACTCTGGAATTAGGTCCATAATCGGTCTTCGGAGTTCCGCTGGTAATCATTTCCAACGCAATCTCACCATTCTCAGCGGTTGAGACGTTGCATCCCAATCTCGTCAGCATTCGAGACATGACGGTGCGAGTGAGACGGTCATCGTCAACGACCAAAACAATGATTGGTGGGTCAAAACCAGCCATGGACCCCTTGCGACTCACGGGCAGTGGTTGAGACCCCGATGTTTGGGAAACTAGCGACGGCTTTCGAACTTGTGGATCTGAACGAGTTGACATAGATGGAATAGCTGGCAGCGGAGTAGCATCAACAAGGCTCTTCGGCGAATCTGCAACGACTGTAGGTGAGCTGTCGATTGAGTGGTTTTCCATTCGAGAGAACATCCCCGGACTACCCAGGTTCTCACCAGAACCATCAATGGGTGGAGTGGGCAGCGGAGGACCAGGTTGGGCGGCTGACGAGAGTTCACTGGTTGTTCGGGTGAACACATGAGATTCAGAGCCGTCAGTTGCATTTGGTAAATTAAACTGCACCAGGCCCCCTACAATCGGATGTTTGCTTAATATGATGCACACAGAGCATGCATAATGCTGACCTTTATCCATCATGGTCTGTGTAATGTTCGTCGAGACAGCCTGCGTTGGGGCACGGCTTGTCAGAAGATCCACTGATAGTGGCCCCGCTAACTCAAAATTTCGTTGCTTCTCGCGCAGAGTCGACTCCGGGTCTGGTTCATCGACTACTTTAACTCCCACTCCCAGCGCTGTTGCAAAACGTGTACATAAACGATTAAATCCAGGCTGAACAACTTAGATAACTTACGTAGCTCAACCCAAAACGTCGACCCATGACCGACTTTAGAACGCAGGCCTAGCCGACCGCCGCTCAGCCTCACAATCTGGCGGACGAGGGCCAAGCCGAGACCAGTGCCCTTGCCGCCTTGTTGTCTACCTTGTTCTGTCTGATTGAATGCAGCTGAAAAAAAGTGAGCGTTTCGCGATGACTTCACGAGACGATCACTCACAAAATAGCTTGCCCTGTGCCATCTCCCTGGGCGGAATTCCATGTCCCGTATCACTAACTTCGATCCGCACAACGATTTGCTTCAGTGGGCCCTTCTTTGTTGAGGATTCCACGACTTGTACCCCACTCCCCATCGGATCATGTGGAGGGTCAGGATCATCAGCAGGAGCGCAGAGTACCTCCTCGATCGCATCTTCGCCCATATCAATCTTTGGTCTTGGATTGTCGGAAGGTTGTGGCGCTGGGTGTGTAGGGAATATCAGGCGTGTAGAACATATCACCCTTCCTCCCGCAGGAGTAAATTTACAGGCGTTGCTGAAAATGAAATGTTCCAGATAATCTTGATAGGGCATAGATAGATGCGGACCTTGCGAGATTGTTGATGATCTGTCGCAGCCTAGTAGCATCCCCGAGAACGATACCGTCCTCCTTGTTATTCAAATACTTCTCGAATTCTGTCATGTTTTCGCCTGCGGCCTCGTATGCTGCTTGTCGCGCGACCTTGTCGATAGATTCGTCGAGACAAGTCACGAGTTCAAGGTTACGGGCGTCTGTTGCCATGCGCAGTGGGATGAACAACGAGCGCATGACAGCATGAAATGCGTAAGGTTTAGACAAGATTTCAAACCGACCGCTATCCATGCGATTACTAGGAGCAGTGTCAGACATGGTTCCTAGAGGCCAGAAATCCACTTAAACAAGTCAAGCATGTCATTAAGAACTGCTGAGAAATCAGTTGGCTGCAGAGAATGAACGACGACGAACTTGCCTTTGGACATCATAACCAAGCTGCCCCCTAATGCCATAAACTCTATTTCTTGCGCTTTAGATACGGCGCATGATGCCTCCATATTCTGCACGGCGAGAACTAGGCGCTCGATCAGCGCTAGTTACATGATTGTGCCTGGCGACACCTACGAGCTGTGTTCAAGGGTACTCGGACCTGTAAATTTCCGGTGAGTCAGATAAGGGTAAGAAGATACTGTACTTATCATGGAAGACGTATCTACCAGCAATAGTCAGTCAGCAAACTATGCAGGCATGGGAACATGATGCGCACGACGTAAGCCTCCTCTTGGAGTCTGCTTCTTTTCGCTCATTGATTTGAGCCTTCTGGGTAGCCTTATACTGGCCTTTGAGTTGCTCTCGGAGAATAAAGAGACGCCGTTCGGACTGTGAATGTGAGAATACAAAAATAGGTATACTCGTTTCTACTTACATTCTCGTGCATGTAATGCACAAACAGGAGGAATGTGTGGTATAGGAGAAAATTAAGCATGTCTGAAATTTCTGGTGAGCTAGTGGTGTAAAATTAGAAACGTTCAACGCACGTTTGGTCCATATTGGCTTATATGGCAGGATGAGAGTACTTGAGCTGTGAAATATCAGTATAAGCCCTAGCAATACATGAACTAATGCACATCTCACATGATCAAGAATGACAGTGACCCCACCATAGCGGCAATTCTATCCATCCTCATCCCAAAAAGTGCGATAGTTTGTAATGCAGAGGTATAGCTAAAGGCAGGGATGAGTGGTTTTGAGGTCGAAGACTGGCATAACGCACTAGAATGTTCCGAGAAAATCCTTTGTTCCGCATGTATTATCTACACTATAATATCCACACACATATCTTTACCAAGCGTTAAAGTCTCCGTAAAGGGCATATCGCTCAGGCTTACATTGTCACAATCTCATACAAACACCTCGGGGGTGGTCAAAAATGTTGTACTTGCGAATTACCAATATGTGACGCTCACCATGACCAAGTCGAGATCATCAAAAGCAACTGGTAAGGTATTGGACGGTCGCGTGGGAAGTCGAATATAACCAAGAAGAGGAGAGGAATTGTATGCGCAGGTATGAACTACCAAGATACCATGAACATTGCAAATGCACGTAGACTCAAATCGTACTCACACCCCATATCCATGATTTATCAAGCACGGTAATAGGCGTGGCAATTGTTGACGCTCCAATGACCCAGTTGGCGATGAAAAATATGGCCGACCAAATTGCTAATAGCTGAGCAAGGGGTCAGTTACGTAGCAGACAAGTTCAGAAGGCACATTACCTTTCTAATACACCAACGCTCCCCCTGATATCGTTCTTCCGTCTTTTCATCATTGAAGTGAACGTGAAAGAATTTATGCACTGCCGGCCAAACTTCCCAGCGGAGAAGAATGAGAAATTGGCGGAAGGGGCCACCATCATCTCGGAACGTGGTACTGTCATGTCCGACGCTTGCACTAGTGCCTGCACCGATGTGAGCCATGTGGCTATCCCCTGATATTTCTGGAGTGTATTCCGAGTGGTCTGGCGAGTTCTTCATATCCTCTGTCCAATCCCGGTCCACGACAATTTCGTCGACCTCGTCAACGTCGGCGTCGGTACCATCCTCTGTCCTTGGCCGAACTTGACCGCTGTCAAGAATACTATCGACAATGGCAGAGGTCAAGGACGGGGACTCGGTGCCCATATGCTTCATGAACCATTCCCAATATCCACGAAGACCGCGTATGATCTTCTGGCGGCCTGAATCTGCTGTAGTACTAGCCTGTGTGACAGGAAGTGGCAAGCCCGGGAACACCTTGGGTTGACGGGTAGGCGCCGTGACGCCTGTCTTTTCTTCAGCAAGTTGGGATTGAGTACCATCATTGAGCTTGGACATTGATGCAAGGCAACCGGCCGAGCACCATGCGGAAAGTCGTATATGAGGTCGAACGTGGCGATATGATGAAAGGTGTAAGATATCCGAGGACAGAAACTGACACGAAATGGCATCATAAGCCCATTATCTCCCCATAGAACCCGCGTTCAAGGCCCGCTCGGAAGCTTAAGCCTTCTTCTTCTTTGGTGTCATCGTGGAAAGTCAATACATGTACTTGTATCAGTAGACAAGCGCGCGCGTGGTATGATAACACTGACAACACTGCTACAGCGGGAAATTCACGGTAATCTTTTGCTGCGAATGCATCATTTAGGCTCACGGAAGCTTCCTGAAGATGATTCACTACCACGTATGTGTTGTGCGCAAACGACAAGCCATTTACACACTTCCTCGGTACACTTAGCGGAAGATGTAGGGGAAGCCTGGACCAGGTACGGCACGTGAACACAAATGTGTCCAGCTCCGACATATGGCTATCACACTTTACTCATGGCCCGCGCCGCGAGAAAAATCAGACATTTTCATTTGTCTCACTCCTGTTCTCGTGAAACCGTCCATGAAAATACAGACTGAAATTTAACAGGCGTGGTCTTTGTCTTGTGGACTAATATTGGTGCTTTGTGTGAGCCGGCGGGAATATTCGCGCCCATCGGAGTTTGATTACCATGCAGGCTTCTGCCTTTCGTGGATCACACCTTCTCCACCTCGTTTCCATTCATCGTACAGCTCATCCTAACCACAACAACACAATAAACCGCTAAGGTGAGACAAATTTTTACGGTATTCAACTTATTCGAGGTCCAAGGGCCTGTTCTCATCCCTTGCAGATTTTTCGAGCCACCTTTTTCAACAGGCGCTTATGACAGTCCAAGTCACCCTGAAAAGCGGGGAGAAGGTCAAAATCAACGGTAAAAATCAAACTCCTTTCTATATTTTCTACTGACATCATTTTGAATTGAATTATGAAGATCACGTATATTGTTCTCCACCATGGTCTGTTCGAGATGGTACTCCATACTCAGTGGCCCGCATCATGGAGTTCCTGCCACCGGAGGGGGCAGGCAAGGGAAAAGGGAAGGGAAAAGAAATATATACCCGAGTTCGGTTGGCTTGGTATTATCGCCCAAGCGACGTCAGTGATCGTCCAGTCGCTGATTCCCGCCTCCTTCTCGCCGCCATATATTCAGAGATCTGCGACATAAACCAACTTCGCTCCCGGTGCCACGTTTTGCATAGGGATAAAATAACCGACCTAGCTGGATGGAAGAAGCGTCCTGACAGATTTTATTTCAATCGTCTTTTTGATCCTTATATCAAGAAGGAGTTTGAGGTTATTCAGGCGACTGACATTCGGAATTGTACGTACAACTTCTCGTTACCCTCACCGTTTCCAGTCAACATTTTCTTGCAGTGCCCGATAACGTCAGACAGGTTTTGACTTCAAGATACGAATATGTAGTGGCCGAGAAAGATGTGGTCCCCGATCTCACCGACACTCTGCGGTTATGTGCAACCTGCAGCGAATGGTGTGCAAAGTACGTTCTTAATGGAGAGTATATTTTTATTTTGCGCATATATTAACATTGTGATATCAGTCCTGACACAGTAGGGTGTGATAGATGCAAGAATTTCTTCCACATGAGCTGCGTTCAACCTCCACTTTTGGCAAAGCCATCACGTGGTTACGGCTGGACATGCGCCCCTTGCTCCAAGCGCCATGAAGAAGAGGTAGATAAACATGACGTTCGGCATCCGACTCCCATCACGAAGCCAAAGTCTAATGCACCTGCTCCACGAGGCCGAGGACGCCCGCGCAAAGACAGGAGCCTCGCGGAAAAGGAAGAAAACGTCGAGATCAAGTACTTCAAAATGTGGCCGTTCCGGTACTTTGGGTAAGTGTATGCGCCTGACCGCATCCCATACGAGATAGATATTTAAGAGCGAAAGCTGACCGCACATGTTCCCATAAAGGCAATACACAGTGGCAGAAGATACGCTTGGTAAGTGTGGATTTGATACAGGCTATTTGGAGCTTAGTACATCTGGACGGTAGATCCTGACGATCTCATCTTCCCTCGATCCGCTACCCGTGTTGGTCCTAAATATCAAGCTACCGTTCCAACGACGCTTGATGTGCCCTCGCCTACAGGTAGATTTTTTTATCCTCTTAGCTCGGGACGCTGCTCAAGGCAATTTAGATCCGGAACAGCGGGGCGGAGACTATACTGTAGAAGTTCTGAGCGCGATCAACACCTTGACAGATGAGGAATGTACGTATTTTTAGCTTTCCCTTGGCTTAGGTAAACAACGTTGCTTACTATTTTCACAGTCATCGACTGTGGGTGCTTTATGACCTTTTGGGACTGGGTTTACTAAGATAACATTTTCAGTGGAAGTATGGAAGGTGGCGTTGAGCAGGAAACAGGAAAATATGTATAGCGTCGACTGGCTGACCGAGGCCTTCAGGCGGTTTTCTCAAGCATATTTGTTGGGTCGTGGGTGGTCCACTGTTGATATGAGTGGTACTCCCACCCGTCCAGAGAAGGTAAAGTTCCAGAGAAAATTATTGTTGGATTTTTAGTGAGAAAAATCTGACTGCTTCGATAGTGGAAGAAGGGCGAAACGAGACATACCGACCGGGAGTGGACCGCAGATGAGGTGGCTGCTTTTGAGGATGGCATCTACCACTACGGCGCTGAACTTCGAGCCGTGCACGACGAAATTGGTACTCGTTCTATGGCCGAGGTTGTGCGGTTTTATGGGCAGTGGAAAAAGTGGGGGTGATTTTATCTTCTCTGATTTTTATTTTCTTATTTTTCTTGTCCAGCTCGAGACTAAAGGAAGAGAATGAACAAATCAGAGCCGCGAGACTCAAGGCCAAAGACGACGGCAAAGATGAGGTACCCTCCGCCACTGCTGCCGTTGCCGATCAATTCTCCGACGACGAAGGTTCAGTCATGCCTGGATTGTCCAGGCATAATAATAGCTGTGGCGCATGCCGCACTCGTGAATCCGAGAATTGGTGGAGAGCCCCCAAGGGACTGGCCACTGATATTCTCTGCGATACTTGTGGAACGAACTGGCGTAAATACGCGGACCTCAATGTCCGTCCAGTCCGTGAGGACGCTCTACCGTCTAGCAAGAAGGGCTCGGATAAACGTGAGGGGACACCCCTCAATGGACCTAGTACGAAGCGAGTGAAGGTAAAAGCGAGCGTACCCTGGCACTTCAATTTGTTTATTTTCGTTTTCTCCCAGACCTCAGCATCGGCTTCCGTAAATACGACACCTCCCCCTAATGTTCCATTGGCCCCGCAGCTTCGTTGCTTGGCATGCCAGAAGAATGGTCCAGTAGGTAAGGTGCTGAGGTGTAGCCAGTGTCAATTTCGAATACACGCAGGTGAGATCGCTGTTCTAATCACGTTACACACCAATTCAACACCACAAATATCTAGCATCTTGCGGCGTTCACGTGGACAAGAGCGCTGTTGAGTCGTGGATGTGCGACATTTGCCAGAACCAAGAGACCCTGGAATCATCTATGGTAAATTAACAAAAAATCGATTTATTTCAGCCGTATAATGGTGACTTGTATTTTCTAGAACACTGACTGCTTGCTGTGCCCACGGCGCAAATCCAAGAAGAAAGCCCAATTCCCCAACGCTGATTCTTTCCTACGTGCTTCTAAGCCTACAGAAGGGCAAGGGTGGGCGCATGTACTGTGCGCTGTCTTTACTCCTGAGATTAGCTTCTCGGATGTTTCGCAGCTCCGGCTCGTTGAGGGTATCAGCTCTATACCCAGACAGAGATGGGCATCTGTAAGGACGCATCCGTTTTCTCTATCCTTGTTTAGTTGACACGATTCACCAGAAATGTACTCTATGCAGCGAAACCAGCGGTGCAGTTATCCGATGCAGTGACTGTGTACGGGAATACCATACATCTTGTGCTTGGAGGAACGGTCACCGTTTTGGCTTCGAGATCCAGCCGGTACGGTCTTTTATTTTTTGTCGTTTTGCATCATGGGATAATTATTGCAGGTGCGCCATCCACGTCGGGACGGTATAATTACCACCTTCAAGGGTGAGACTGGCAACATGATTCCTATCGTATGTTGCCAGGAACACGACAACAGGCGGGAACTATATGATGTATGTGAAACGGATGAGACTGGAGAGGTTAGTGTCGATCAAAATGATTCACCTGCTAGGATCACTGACGCGGTACAGACTGCACTGCAAGTTTACTGCCGGACCTATAAACAGGCGCCTGTGACTCAAGCGCATGCTCTACTTCGGAAGGCTAGGAGACTCGACCAAACTCTGAATATCCGCGCGGACGGCAGCTCGTTGGTTGATGTTTCGGCTGAGCCTGCGTTGGAATGCGATATGTGCTCTTCGCAATACTCCCCTGCATTCTATCCGAGCGAACATTACTCGGGTCGTTGGCGGTGCCACAAATGCCACTTTGAGCACCGAGCGAATGGGGTTGGCTCTGGCCATTCACCTGCTACAAGTCTTTCTCCCCTTGATGACACAATGGATGTTTAAATAGGGTTACTTGTCTTTATTTCCCTGTGGCATGTCCGTTGGATTTTGCATGGACTTTGTACTGTATACGTTCAAGAAAGAACTTTGATCGTTACTTTAATACTTGGTTGTTGAGGCTGTTAAGTTATGTAATCGGGATTGTCATTGTCACACGATTTGGGACGAAGTTGTGTTGTTCTGTCAAGTATTTCGCTCCGTCACCGGGCGGCTCAGTATCTGCCACGCACTGAATCGCTGATTCTACTCGGGGCTACTCGAGGCTACTATTTTCATTTCTTGAATGCCTGGTGTCGTTGTTCTTCCCCTACCATCACCTAGTCTCGCAGGATTCGGTCCAGAGACTCACAGCGGAGCTTACCTGCATCGACAACCTATCGATCCTCCAGTAGATTCTCCGACTATGCACAATGGCGCCTCATCTTTAGGATCTGTCTTGGAGATCAAGGAGCGTGCTAAAAGCGTTGCGGAACGTAGTAAGGGTTTTAGTGCCAAAACACTCCTTGGGTCTGCTCGTTCCCAGTTACACTTAGCTCACTCGAGGGATGTCGCTCGTGACCCAAAGGCAGCTCTGCATGCCCTTTACATAGCAGCTAGCCTGATTACGACTTATATGAACCACTCCGACTACGCCGCCGACAGGACTAAGGGGAACCCAATTCACCATGAGTTCCTACAGTTCTACCAGGTTCGCACTAAGTCTTTAGTGCCGAATGCCATCAAATAATATCATCCACAGGAATACGCGGCTTCTCTGAACCGTATCAAGAGCCTCGAGAAGGAGCTGGGTGATCTTGAGAGATCGACCACTGCGTGAGTACTGCGCACAAAAGATTGACCTTCGTATTTATTTACTCTTCTTTCTTTCTTCATAGTGTGTCACCTCATCAGGGAGAATTACCCAATATAACATCGCTCGCAGATCGCTTGAAGATGCTTGGTCAAAACGGACTTGTTGATTCCACGACGAAACGTTATTCACGGGAAGTTCCCCTTGGGACCACTCCTCCCCTTTACATCCCGGATTCAGCCCGCCCCAATCGACCGTCGCCTTCGTTATCCGCTACCGCTGCTCTCAGCACTGCATCTTCCGCATCAAACTCTACAACACATTCACCATACGCAGTCGTCCCGCCGTCGTCATTTGGGCCACCGTCCCCGACGTCTACTGATTCGTCAGAGGAGACGGGCCTTGATCATGTTGCGTTCGGTCTTGGTGGGGCCGCTACAGCCAAAGTAGATATACCAAGTGCAGAGAAGGATTTGGGAGGTGCATCAACATTCGAATCATCATCACGTCTCTGGAAACCTGCAATAAATGACGCTCTTTCTGGCCTACCTTCATCACCTGAGCGCCGGTTTCCGGAATTGCCGATCGATACCACAGGGTAAGCGCATTCTTCCAGCCTGTATCCAGTATTGATGTCCCGGTACTAGGTCAACATTCGAATCAACTTCACACTTATGGACACCTCCAATAAATGGCGCGCTATCTGGCGCACCTACATCACCTGAGCGCCGGTTTCCGGAACTGTGGAACGATTCCCCAGGGTAAGTATAAGTTTTTCCACCCTGCGTCCAGTATATTGATGTTCCAGTACTAGGCTACTGCTCAAATCCCACGATTCAGAAACATTCAGTGACACTCCCGCTTCCATAAGCCGCGCGAACATTCTTACGCACATCCCGTCATCCATATCATACAGCCATAGTCGTCCTGATAGTGTACGTGGCATTTGCCCTGATTTGATTACACGTTGCTCATTGTCCCACAGACACCCCGCACACCTCCCGTTATACCCCATTCACTTACAAACGGTCCTGCGGCGACATTCACACCTATACAATACCCCTCCTTCTCAACCACAAGTTATTCCTCTGCTTCTAGGTCAGGGGGTACGTCCTTAATATCTCAGCCCCCAGCGATTCCTCCGCAAGCGAGCATCAACCACTCTCCCCTTGTCCGGAGGCGAAGCGACTACGTCGAACAAGGTTCTGGTAGTGCGTCGTTTAGCGCCCGCCTCCCCATCGACTACCCCGATCTCCCTCATTCTCACGTTATTCGCCCTCCCCCTCCATCGTTCCAGCGGCAGCATTCTCACTCGCAGTCATATTCCGTTAACACATTTAAGGAGCCTCCCAAACCGCCCACAATACCGTCTACTTATCCTGTGACATATTGGTCCGACATGCAAATCGTCACGGTTGGCCTCAAGAATATGGGAAATACATGTTACATGAATGCTACAATTCAGTGTCTCAGTGCCACGGTGCCATTTGCAAGATTCTTCACTGGTGTGTATGAATGTTGATATCCACACCCAAATGTAGGGCTTACGGGAGATGACTCTGATTTAGAAGGCCGGTGGAAGCAGGCTGTCAATGCAATCAACCCCATGGGAACGAGGGGGCTTCTCGCATCAGCGTTTGCAAAGATTCTCTACGAAATGTCGCATTCTGAGCTTCCGCATCTGATCCCCGCTGCGTTCAGGGTAAGTTTGGTGTTTTCGTTGGTGCACAACTCTGACTTCGTTGGCAAGAAATCAATATGCACGCATGCTCCTCAGTTCTCGGGATCTGACCAGCATGACTCGCAAGAATTCCTCACCTTCTTGCTTGATGGCCTCCATGAGGACCTTAACCGTGTCCTTCAAAAGCCATCCAATGGAACCACGCCTGAACGTGAGGCCGAACTGGAGCGACTTCCTCAGTCGATTGCCAGTACACAGGAATGGGAGATATACCGAATGCGGAACGATTCACTTATTGTAGATTTCTTTCAAGGACAATTCAAGAATCGGTTGGTGTGCTTGACGTGTCGTAAGGTGTGTTCGGATTTATATTGGACGTTCTTAAACACGTGACACTAACTTCATGCAGACATCGACGACGTATAATTCCTTTATGTATCTTTCGCTTCCCATGCCTTCCGTAAGAGGCCCGTCCAAGATATCTTTGCAGTCATGCCTAGACGCCTTTGTCAAAGAAGAAGTGCTCTCGGGATCGGAGGCTTGGTATGGTGCTGCTCGTTTTTTGTGACATTGTTCTCATTATATTACTAGGCACTGTCCGCATTGCAAAACTCTGCGCAACGCCACCAAACAGCTTTCGTTGTCACGCCTTCCACCAATCCTGCTCATCCACCTGAAGCGCTTCTCGCATAAAGGGGTATTCACAGACAAGATTGAGACCGTCGTCGACTTTCCTCTAAAGGGTCTGGATTTGACGAATTACATGCCTTCAGCGCCACCCCCTGGGATGCATAACGGTTCAGCAAATGGTATTGGCACTGATGATCCGCGAGTGCAGACACCACCATATAGATACGATCTATATGGCGTGACGAATCATTTTGGAAATTTAAGCAACGGTCATTGTGAGCTTTACCGTTGTTGCTATGCTGCCCTTTTGTGAATAACTCGGTTGTCCAGATACCGCTTACATCGCTTCTCGTGGAGGATGGGTTTATTGTGACGACAGTCGGGTCACGCCGACTGATGCCAAGGACATAGTGGTAAGCTTTTTGATTTACCGGTAAGATTTGATCCTGACGATTTCCTTAGGGACGCCCAGCATACGTGTTGTACTACAAGAGAATCAAATCATAGATTATTTAAGGATGCTTATTTGGATGTTTATCTTCTCGGGTCAAATCAAACTTACATCGCTATACTTGCTGTCATCCCCTGTAGCTCGCCTGTCACTCCTTACAGTTTGTTTGTTTCGATGGAATTTTCGTAGTCTACATGTATGCTCACATCGATAATGACATCTTTTCTCGCAGTCGCGATGGACTACATTGATTCGTTACCGGCCAGTCACGGTGGACACCATAGTGTACATAGAGGCCTGGTGACGATCAATCCAAGACGAGAAACACATCGTGGGAGGACGGCCATACCATTGTGTATTGAAAACGATAAACAGACAAGTCGACATATTGCTAAGGAGCAAATTCAAAAGCATATGCCAAAGGGTCAAAGGATGACTGTCTTCCTTCTATCGGTCTGCATACGGGAGATTAACGATCTGCCATAATGCTGATCCTCGACTTGATCAGCGAGTGAGGGCTGGGTTAGTGGTGGGGATGGGAGCAGAATGTACATCACATTCAAGAGAAAAATCTGCATCAAGAGCTGTCATTCTTGTGACTGACTATCAGAAGTCAGTCCGGCCGCCTGTTATCCTCCCGTAGCGAGAAGATGGGTTAGTGTTGGCATCTATCAAAATTGCATGTAAGTCCCCATGGGAAAGACTGGGTGTAAGGGACGTGCGAGCCTAGAGAGCCGAGGAGAATAGGATGCGCGAGGAGACACGCAGAAAATGTCAAGGTAATGACACTTTGAAAGTCGCATTTTTTGCATGGGCAATACGGGTAATATATGATGGAACTCCATGGCTCTGCATTAAAATCCAATCCCCAGTGCGAGAATAAGCAAACCTGATGCTGAGCCACGTCTGACTGGTGAACCCGTCTGGCTAATGCATGGGGAGCGATTAAGATTCGAATTTGTGACATCGTCACAGATTTTATTTTGTCACGCGTTAACATTTGAATGCACGTGACCGCGTCGCGTCAGAAATAGTTCAACAGCGGCGGCGGCGACAACCACAACAAACAGTCCAGCACCACGATTTCCGACCGACAATGGCCGACACACCACGAAAGCTGGTGCATTGGGCTCTCGATGTATCTATCTCTGACTTTGGATCACCATGCTCAGAAGCAACATCCTCCGATTCCATCGCGTCAACATCCAGTCTGCAGTACATTAACTCTCAACTTGTAGCACATGGATTCACCCATTCACCCGGGCTCTCCTTTGAAGGACTCTCAAACTCCGATTCCGATCAGCTGGCAAGGTGTCTGCTTGCGATGATAAGCCAAAGAGTGGTGCGTTAATGCAGTCGTGTGATAGCACAAGTGACACCAGTCTCATCCAAGACTTTCTTTGAAATATTAGAATGATATGTCTCGCGCTGAAGATCTATCGACCAGTCTACGGACTCTCTCCTATGACCACGAGCGGCTCATGGGGATGCATCGTTCAGCCACTGAAAAGGCAGCCAATGCAGAGCGCGAAACAAACGTTTACAAGTCACGACTTGTGTAAGCATTTGGTTGGTTCCGTCAAACGTTTAATCTAAATTGTGTGGCAGAACGGCCTCCAAAACCTTGGCAGCTTCGGAATCAGCCCATAAGCAAACTTCAGCTGAGCTTCAGCGGACGCGCTCCTCGTTGATCGCTCTTCGGGCGACTCATTCAACGGAAATAAAAAAGAAAGAGAAAGACGTCGAGCGCATCATAGAAAAATGGTCAAAGCTTTCCGACATGCAGACGAAGCTATCGACTTCGTCCTCAGGATTGACTTTTCGATGTGGCAATGCCGACGTGGTGAGCGGGTCTGAAACCCTCGGCAAGGGAAAGGGATACCTTGAGATCGCTCTTGAGCAAGCTGAAACTGCTCGCGCTTCACTAGCTGATGAAACTTTGACGTTACAGCGGCTTGTTGTGAATGTCGCGAACCGACTGCAGTCGGTGCTGCATGAACTGCGATACTTATTTTCACCTTGTGATGAAGAGGTGTGGCTCCGGTTTCAAGCGCAAACCGCCCTGCTAACCTGTCCGTAGCCTGCAATAATAACGCACAGCGTATTGTTCCCTATAACGCCTCCCAACGCTGCCAGTGACAGGCTTTCTACTCTCTTCTCCTCAGCGCACGGTGTCCTCGATGACATTTCAGAGCGCCTATCACAGCGAGCTGCCGCACCACCGGTACCAGACTGCACCAAGGCCTCAGATGCTTTGGAAAATCAACGATTACAAGGCATCATCGATGACTTGCGCTCAGAACTTGGTGAGCCTCTGGACGCCATCGGGTTCCCTTGTGTATAGCTAACAAGCATCCGGAACAGATGAAGCCAAGAAGCTCCATGAGAGGCATGTTGCAGAGACTCAGGTCCTATTAATGCAGATTGCATCCCAAGATTCACCTACAGAACCCGATCCAAGGGACGTAAGCGTCGAGCTCATGACACAACCAGAACGAGACCTTGCCGCTGAGCGCCTTGAGCGAATGAAGACCGAACTTGATGAGGAGCGGAGAAAGTTTACCAACGCTGCTGTTAGACTTGGCAAGGAGAAAGCCGCTCTGGAGGTAAAAATCCAATACCTGCGTCCAACGCATGTACTGATGACCGCACTCAGACTGAGCGTGTCCAGTTCCTTGAGGAGAAGCGTTCGTGGCATGTCGAGCAGATGCTCTCCGATCTCTCACCAACACCTGCCCTAACTTCCCAACCTGTACCTCAGTCTCATAAGATCAAGTCACCTCGAAAGTCGCCTATGAAGCCCAAGGTCGTCGGCAAGGTGGCAAGCAGAAAGACCCGAGTGTCCCGGCGCTCCTCGTCATTCTCGATCCCACCACCAAGCAAAGTGGAACCTGCTTACGAAACGGAAGTGATTCCTATCGCTATCTCACCGGCTGCCTTCGGGGCATTAGGCAAAAAGTCGACCTTGGCGCAGTCTATTTTACCCTCAGCGTTCGTGCTCCCTCCTCGTTCACCCCGGACGTCCTTGCCCCCTGTAGAGGCATTCCTTCCTCCAGTGATAACCACGCATCAAGCACCGTCAGGAGGAAAATTGTATTCATCCATTGACACCGAATCAACTTCCACTTCGAGCTCTGATGCTTCCTCGTCAAATTCCACGTCACCCCCTGCTCCGGCACGGGCCGCAATACCGAAAATTGTCCTCCCATCACCTAAAACACCTCCTGCTCCTGTTGTGAACACACGCCGTCCATTCCCACTTGCAAAGCCTCTTGCACCACACATGTCACATGCTTACTCGCCTGCCAAACCGAGTCCACTCTCTCGCATTCTCATGCTTGCGAACTCTCCTGACAGCCTCGACGGAGTATCAGAAGCGAGCGAAGATTCTCCGACGTCTGCTGTTCCGCCGTCCGTTGCTATAACGAACACATTGTCAAGTGAATCAGAATCAGACGACAGCCCCCTGAGAGAGAAGAAGACCGAGCCAAATGTTGTTTCTCTACATCCCTTCAAGAAAGCGCCACCCCCTGAATCGAAGCGCTTTTCGACGAAGGAGAAGGGAAAGACCCAAGCGGAGTTTGTCATACCTGGAAAACTAAAGCCAGAGAAAGAAAACCGCGACAAGGTCCCTCGAAAACCATCTCCTTCATTGCCTCCTCCTCAACCAAAGCTGAAAATCAGTAGCTTAGCTGCTAGCAAGCCTGCACTGAAACTACCTACCGGAAAGGGTGGTGCAAGGAGGGTATTGATTGGAAGTGCCGAAGCCGCTCCTTTGCCTGGATGGAGAGGATGAGAGGCATGCCCCCACGTCCATTATTTTCTCCTGCTGCATCATTATGATACCCCTACGGTTTTCATTGTAAACATCCATTTGCCCCTATGTAATAATGTATGCAATAACAATGTTTCAAAACAGGAAGTATTGAAGATAGGCGCTCACTACCAGAGTCAAATGAATGTCTTACAGTGAGGAATGATGAAAGAAGCGAAGTGCTTCTCTGCCAAGGGGCCGCCATTGAATTAATTCCAACAGGCGGGCTGGATGATCACAAAGTGCTATCTCCTGCGGATTGATGCCAACATTCCGCCCATTGATAGAGTAGAACCTGGTATAGCTCGAGGCCTCTAAAAAACTTATCTTGAGGGACGGCTGGGATCTGAACGTCAGTGGCATACCGAGGAAGATCATAGTGTCCTCGCAGGGCATCCGCGGCAACCAAACGCAGATGAGAATTATACCGATTCCTGGGCAAGAGCGTGAACTTTTTCATGTGCTCTGTGCGCGGTCAGCAGACCCACCGCCGACGGACGTCTGTATGAACCAGCCTATTTTCTGGATATCATTCCACTCGATGTGATTGTTGAAAAGTCTGGATGCTCTGGAGAGATGAGGAGTCAAAACTACTAGAATGTCCTAACAGGGCGAACATATTTACCTCGTGGGATGCTCATCTTCGTCCCCGAGTACTTGTCCTCGGCTTTCCAGAGAGCAAAGCAGGAACTTGCTTATCAGAAATCAAAGTTCATCAGACACCTGCCGCATACTTCTTACCTTGAACTCACATTGACGTCCGACTATCGTGTGGAGGAACGATCAAGTGCTGTATTGCATCAAAGAGGATGGTGAGAAAAATAGAACGAGGCTGGCTGATGATCATTCATAGTGTCATACCTCCTAAGAGGGAACACCATGATAGACATTCTACATGCGATGATCACGGTGCCGATACTGACCTGTTTTCAGGCCCTGGCCGGGTGCGGCCGCCACGCGGATACTCGATTTTTAAAAGAGTATTTCGATGCAACATGTTTGCCCGACTAGAAAGATATGTCAGTCGTGGTCAATACCAGGTACAGATATAGATCGTTAAAACTTCACCAGTCACACTGCCGTGGATTCACGGAGTATACTTATGTAGTAGCCTCAATCTCCCCGACTACACAGCCCTCACTGAGGCTCACCAGCCTATGTAGTAAAGTCAAGCGAGCAATAGGAGCAGCAAAACCAGGGACCGCCACCATTCAAGATTGGGATCGTAATTCTACAATGTTATTGATCATTAATCACAGTTAAATGTACATGCTGTTCGTAGGAGTCCAAGATGGTACTTCACCAGGTCTAGCTTCGCGGAGCGCTAGGCCTCCTCAACAGCGCCCTCTTGAGGAATTGTAAAAGCCGCGAAGTAGTTGTCGACGTCGTCCAACGCACTTGCAGGTGCAATCATGCCAACATACCCGTCAGGGCGGATGACGACCAATGTTATACCCCTTGGGTCAATGCCGAACCTCTTGTATGCTCCACCGCCTAGTTTTCCCGAGACATCAGTATCATCCAGCAAAACTCTGTAAAAAGTGGATTAGCGACACAAAACGCAGGATAAATCCTGGTAGGACATACTTGGACCAGTGGGGCCTAAGCAACGCAGGTACACGAGTATATTCAATCTCTCCCTTGTCACCAGACATGATAGTGATGATGTCGAACATGCTTTGAGCTACCCCCTGCGAGGGATAACCGTACTTCTGCAGGAAACTTGAGGGGTCTGACAATCCCTCTGAGAGGAATTTCAGTTCTCTGACACGATCCTCTGTTAAGTGGCCGACGAAAAACAGAAGTTTGAACCGCGTATCAGACGGGATCATGTCCTGGATGTCGTAGGGACGCGCATCTGCCGCGCGGACGAATACTTGGGGGGGCATACGTTCGCCGATGATAAGGTGAGGTGCACATTGTTGGTGCGTTGCATTCGTGATAGCGGAGGGCATATAATGGACACCGATGCCACTCGTAAATCCACCACCAGCCTGGAAAGCTCTGTTGGCAGTCAGCCGAAATAGCCCCATGACAGGATTTCCGAGTGACAAACCTCAGGAATTGTTCATGCGACACACCATCGTCGTTATCGACCGTCCTTGGCTTTCCTGAAAACAAGGTGGAGAACTCGCGATCGAAGTCGATCAGATCTTGTGCGTATTTTCTACGCTCGAGTTCATACTAAAAGGAATGAGCCTCAAAAAATGTAATCATGCGCACGGGAGACTTACCGTTTTCAATAAGGAAATATCTGCTCGGCCCCTTAAAACCTGTGCGAGTTTCCATGCTGCACACTACCAGTCAGTAAATACAACTATCTAGAATATCTATTTCTGTTACCGAGGTTGTGCGTATCGTTCATACTGGCATTCATGCCCTGTCCTGAAGTAAGGTCAGCGAAACGTCAAAGTCATTGTTGCCAGAAACCCACCAGCCTTGGGAGAATGTGTATGACATGCATCTCCCGCAATGAAAATTCGTTCGTTGACAGAAAATCTTGACGCCACGCGTTGTCCGACTATTAAGGTGAGCATAATTATTACCGCACTGAATACTGTACGCCTTACTGATGTAAATCGTCCACCAATCATACTTCTTTGGTTCATCAACTTTGTAGGGATGCAATATCTTCCTAGCAACCTAGCCGGGCACGTTAATCAGTTTATACTGCCCACATTATTATTCAAGCACATACATCCAATAATTTCTCTGGGCTCATCCTGTTTTTATCCACCCGCCCAGAAACCGGATCCAAAACATCGCTGTCAGACAGCTGGATGTAGAAACGTACTTTGTCCCCTTCGCGCGGTATGATCATGCACGATCCATTCGTGGAGTGGATGGCACTTCGGTTACGGACGTCCGGGAAATCCGTGTCGGCTACGATATCAACAACACCCCAGATATAATCTAGTTCGGAGAGTAAAACATGTGGGCATCAGCCATTCCTAACGTGGTCGATGTGCATAACTAACCTGTCTGCTCCCCATCCATAGTGATGTTCAGAGTCTTTCGTACCCATGAATGGGCTCCTGCACTCATTCGTTGATCTCACGGAGATAAAATCATGTAAAATCATGCCTTACCATCACAACCTACGACATAACGAGCGTGCACTATCTCTTGTTTTCCAGGGGTATCTAGATGATCTAAAGTGACCTATAAAAAGCAAATGAATATCATCATTTGTAACATTTTCCTACGCAATCTTCTTACCTTCACTGGATAACTAAACGGATCTTCAAGTTGCTCTGAATCGTCGGACAGTTCAATCGAAGCAGGTACGATGGGGCGATCGACTGTGAGACCGTGACTGGCCATGGAATCGACAAAAATTTGCTCGACAGCTCCTTGGTTGAGCAGGACCTCAAAAGGATAGCGAGCTGTCGGAGCAGTGATGTCAGGCGCGCGTCCCGTACGCTAGTGCAAGAACAAATTAAGGGTGGTGTGTATTGTAATGGACGAAGCTCTTACTGCGAGAACACCGCCATCATCAGGGTTATAGAATGCCTAATTCAGATCGTCATTAGCAATGAGCTGCAACAAGTACTGCGCGCTTTAGCGCGGGTGTGACGTACACACATGTGCATTTGGCAACCTTCCTTGAGCAAGCGCTCCGCGAGGCCGTAGCTCTGTGGTACGGTAGACGAGTGAGTCGCGACAAGTACAGAACCATGGTCCACTGACCTGAAGAACTTCAATCGTCCTCGGTTGAATGCCGTCCGCTTGTCCTGTTGATACTTTTAATGGTCTGCATGAATATTGATATTGGCATCAGTACAAAGAAGGCATCATATTGAGATCTCTGACCTTTGGTCTACAATTTTGACATGAACCCCAGCGGCAGCAAGTGCATTAGCGCACATCACCCCTGCTGGTCCAGCACCCACGATAAGCACATCAACATGACTTTCCATACTTTAGTCTGATGGTAAGCAGAGCTCGGAGAGGGACGCGTTTCAGTGCAGACAGATTTATAAGGGCGCGTTTCAAAGTGGACCGAGATGCACGTCGCCCGACTCGGACTCGGATCCGACCTACGTTTCCAACCGAATTGGCAACCTTTGCCGTTAGACTACATACTAGGCTTCACGTTCGTAACCATTCATTGCAATCTGTAATACCACTGTACAGCAATCCGTAAGTGGTAAGTACTATCTTTGCCCCGGTGTTGCAAATTTGGCCCGGAGTTGCAAATAACGATGTAGCACGCTCAAGCTCCGAGTCTTAGAGCTGCTCAATTCTAAATGATTCTGGAGGATATTTATTCTCCACACAAGATGGACTAGAAGCGGCAGCGAAACACTGCTCAGAATGTGCGCTTTCCACACCAATTGAATCCGTTGCAGGAAAGCCATGGCATGCACTTAAAAATTACTAATGATTTAGACCACTCTAATTTTTCCGACGGACAAGGGACTTCGTCCACTTAATTACCCCAGATTTCATTACGCTTGACTGGACAACAACAGTGTGACATAAGTAGCTTCGCACCGCCGGCTTCGCTCTGGCAAGGTATATACATGAGTGCTTTTTGGTTCTACAATGTTCAAGCCATAGTAGTGTGATCAAACTATCTTCAGTCGTTGATTGAACATTGGAGGAATACATCATCAACCCCAGGGATATGGATATCGGCAATATGCTACAAAGATATGTCAGAAGGAACGTGATATGGTACGGCAAGCCACTATTCCCCCAGGCTCAACGTTTTTCCTATCAGGAATGACCCGAAGTACTTATCCATGCTCCCTAGTGCCGTGGATGGCGCGATCATACCAACATAACCGTCAGGCCGAACAACTACCAGCGTTATTTCCTTCTCATCAATTCCGAATCTAGGATATGCGCCCCCACCCAAACGGCCCGTCACATCCGTATCATCAATCAAGACCCTGCGTGGACTCAGCATCGTGGGACAGTCGAAAGTACAATGACTCACTTAGACCAGTGTGTCCTGAAGATCGGCGGAAGGTCAAGGAAGTTCACATCATCCTTGCGACCCGCGGTTATTGAAATGATGTCAAACATAGACTGTGCCTTGCCCTGGGCAGCGTAATCGTATCTCTGCAGGAAACTTGTGGGGAGTTGTAACTCCTCAGCAAGCCTTCGGACATTCACGAGCTTCTCCGGTGTCAGAAGACCAACGAAAAGAAGAAGCTTGAAGCGCGTGTCCGCGGGAAGCATGTCTTGAATCTCAACTGGACGAGCGTCTGCTGCACGAACAAACACTTGCGGCAGCATCCGCTGGCCAATGATGATCTCTGGCGCGGAGCTTTGATGAGTAGCATCGACAATCGCTGAAGGCATGTAGTGGACACCGATACCACTGCTGAAGCCGCCAGAAGCCTGGAAAGCCCTGAGAAGCGTAATTCAGACACCGTTATACAACGTATTGAAACAACTCGACCTCAAGAATTCTTCATGAGTGACACCCTCCTCGTTTTCTGATGTCCTCGGTTTGCCAGAAAATAGAGCAGAGAACTCCCGATCGAAATCAATGAGATCTTGGGCATATTTCTGGCGCTCAAGCTCGTACTGAGATACGATAAGTCCTTGGAAACTTGAACAAGTAATGCGCGGACATACAGTCTTCAAAAGGGAAATATCTGCCCTGCCCCGAAGGACTTGTGCTAGCTTCCACGCTATTTTCAGAGACTGAGAATTCCACCCTGCCTGAAAGAGGAAAAGCCGTACCAAGGTTGTGGGTGTCGTTCATGCTTGCATTCATACCCTGCCCTGCAATGCAATCAGACTCCTATCTCTTCCTGAACCATTTCATTTGCTCACCTGCTTTCGGAGAGTGCGTGTGACAAGCGTCACCAGCGATGAAGACGCGCTCATTCTTAGAGAACCTGGAGGCTACACGTTGACCAACTGGAATGACAACCGTTGAACTTCATAATCCCAGTGATAGTAGTGTAATGCCCTTACTGATGTAAATTGAACACCAATCGACTTCCTTTGGTTCATTGACTGTATATGGGTAAAATGTTTTGCGTGCAACCTGTTTGGGAATGTATTAGTAGTCCTTTGATGCGATGAAGTTGGTACATACGTCGATGAGATTCTCAGCGGTCACCTTGTTTTTGTCGATTCGCCCTGTCTCAGGATCCATGACGTCCTTATCCGACATCTGCAGGTAGAACCGGACTTTGTCTCCTTCGCGCGGTATAATCATACATGAACCGTTACTGGAGTGGATTGCGGTACGGTTGCGAATGTCCGGGAAGTCGGTGTCTGGAATGAAGTCAATCACACCCCAAATGTAATCTAAAAGAAGCACCATATATTAGAATACTTTATGATGAACTAGCGCCGAAGATTTACCTGTTTGCTCCCCATCCATCGAAAATCCCAAAGTTTTCCGGACCCACGAGTGCGCGCCTGAGAAATGGGCGCTATCAGTTGCACAAGAGCATTTGAGGTGCTGCATGTCTCACCATCTGCACCGAGAACGAATTTCGCATGAACGATTTCCTGTTCTGTAGTAGTGCCTGAAGGAAGTATGTGGTCCAAGACCACCTGGACCAACGTGTCAAAAGTAGGGCTTGGTTGGGATTAAAATATTGAGCACCTTTACAGGGTACGATGTTGGGTCGAGAAGTTCCTCGGCATCTTGGGAAACTTCTAGGGAAGAGGGTACAATCGGACGGTCGACTGTTACTCCCTGGGACTTCAAGGAGTCGATGAACAGCTCTTCAATTGTCGCTTGTGCGATCGTGATCTACACCGCAATATTAATCAGACATGTATGAGCCAAGTGATGAAATATACCTTGAAGGGATAACGGGCCGTTGGCGCTGTCACGTCGGCAGCCCGACCAGTACGCTGCGGATATTGTTTAAACACGTAGCAACAGTGCTGCGACACAGCATGTTAATTAACATACTTCGATACCGCCATTAGGACCAGGGTTGTAAAAGGCCTGCACAGATGTTACTACTCATGTTTTGAATCAACTAGAAGTCTCTGAAACGTACACAAAGATGCATCTGGGCACCGTCCCTCAGCAAAGGCTCTGCCAAACCATAACTCTATAGGGATTGAATATCACTTCTAAGCTCCAGTGAAAGTGTTGGGACGTACTTGAAGAACTTCGATCGTCCTAGGCTGTATGCCATCTGCTTGCCCAGCGGGCACACCGATCGGCCTGTAACGATGTGAGTTGTCGATCTCCACTCAGGACTCCAAACAACGGACCTATTGTCTATGATTCTGAAATCCACTCCAGCGCCAGCTAATGCATTGGCACACATGAGCCCAGATGGACCCGCGCCAATGATGAGGACATCAACTCGACTTTCCTTGACCATGGTGATAGGGAAATAGGAAAGATAATGTTACGGTACAAACTGGTTTGGAATGAAGGCTTATATATACAATGCTGTTCTGCTAACGAGAGACCCGCCCGAAGAGAGGCATATAATTATTCGCTTCGCACCTGTTCGCGAGTGCTGTCACGGCTGTGAGATCTGGGCACACTTGTTACCCGTATTCTTATAAATGGTACGATAACAAATAGATCCGAGCAAGGATGGATACAATGAGCGCCAAGTACGACGGGGGCACAGTCGAGTTTTCTCACGAACTTCTACGCTAACCACAACCGTTATCAACTTATCATGCATAATGACTTTGCAGCAATGCATCGTTTGTTTGTTTTTAATGCATCTGATACGTCGACTCTATGATACAAGACTGCCTTGAAAGATCCTAGGAGATAATAAGCAAAATGTAAAGAAGATATATCGTTAAAATTAAGCAGGAATCTTCATGAAAGACGCGAAATACGCGTTAAGCTCGTCAACATGATCCAGGGGCGCGATGGTTCCAATATAGCCATCAGGGCGAACCACAGCCAGTACACCCTCAGGGCCCACTCCGTAATATGAGTAACCTTGTCCACCAAAGCTACCAGTGACATCAGTGTCATCGATAAACACCCTAAGAGCGCCTCAATCAATATTATCATACATGACATAAATTAAACACTCACTTCGACCAGTGAGAGCGAAGAAGTGTAGGGAACTTCAAGAACTCAAATCCTTCCTTCCGGCCTTTGCCGATCGTGATGATGTCAAATCGCGGGTTCGCAGAGCTCTCGCCAGGTGCTGCATAACGGTTCAGGAAGCTCTCGGGTTTCTGCATGTCCGCAACCATTGACTCAACCCTCGCGTGCTGAAGTGGATCACTGTAGTCACCAGCAAAAACGATCACTTTGAAGCGGAAGTCCGAAGGAAGAAGGTCCTGGATATCGAAGGGCCATGCGTCTGCGGCACGGATGAATTTGTATGGAGGGAATCGTTCACCAATCACGAGACCACTAGCCAGCTCCTGGTTTTTCTCAAGAACTGCAACCGAAGGGCCATAATGTACCCCAATGCCACTGGTGAATCCTCCGAACGTTTGGAATGTCCTATAACCCCACCACATTAGTAACAGGGTAACACTGTTGGTAGTATAATCTCACTTCATGAAATGTTCATGCGCAACCCCATCGCTGTTTTCTTCAGTCAAGGGCTTCCCAGAAAAAAGGGTGGAAAACATTTTATCAAATGCGATCAGGTCCAATGCGAATTTACGGCGCTCTGATTCGTACTAACAGTGGTGCGTGAGCAAGAAGTCAAATGACTGTACAAGAACTTACCGTTGATAAAAGGGATGTGTCTGCCCAACCGCGAACAACTAGGGCAATTTTCCAAGCTGAGAAAGCTCTTTAGCTTCAATCGAGACCGCAGGAAAAAGAAAACACACCTAGGTTGTGGGCATCGTTCATACTTGCGTTCATTCCCTGTCCTGAGAATGCCATTGTAACTAGACTGAGGTGGAGGGGTCAGATGTGAGACACTTACCTGCTTTCGGAGAGTGTGTGTGGCAAGCATCACCGGCGATAAGTACTCGATTTTTGATGGAAAAAGTAGAGGCCACTCGTTGCCCAACTTGAGAAAAAATCGTCAAACAAACATTTCATAGCAAGTGGGTCAGACACATACTGATATATAGTGTCCACCACAAAATCCCAGTTGTCGGGGTAAGCTTGTAAGGCTGAATCGATTTTCGAGCAACCTAAGGAGAACGTTAATGAATGCTGATCCATCGGACGAATAACGCTTACTTCGAGCATCTGATCTGGACCCATTCTCTCTTTATCTACTCTACCTGTCGCTGGATTTATGATATCTTTGTCCTCTAGTTGCATGTATACGCGAAGGCGATCTTTTTCTCGAGGTATAAGAAGAACTGAGCCATGGTTGGAATGTACAAGGCTCTTATTCCTAACGTCCGGGAAGTCAGTGTCAGGTACCATGTCCAAGACACCCCAGATGTATTCTATCAATCGGGATTGAGCATGCTGAGAGCCTAAAATGAGAAAGATACTCACCAGACTGTTCTCCATCCATCGAAATATCGAAGTGTTTACGAACCCACGAGTGAGCGCCTATCAAGGAAAATGATTAAGTTGGCCAGATGGACATACATCTTTGGAACGCACCATCAGTTCCGACAACATATTTAGCATGGACAATCTCTTCTTGTGGTTCACCCTCGGGTGTGTCTTTTTGGAGCACAACGCGCACTGGATATGATGCAGGATCCGTCAACTCATTTTCGTCTTTGGAGATCTCTATCGAAGTGGGTGACGTTGATAGTTCAACCTCGACACCGAGGGCCCTCATGGAATCTAAGAAAATAGATTCAATGGCTCCTTGATGGAGTGCAACCTTCATTTCGTTCAGCTTGTATAAAATGTCTCTCTAAATGACGAGCGCACCTCGAATGGGTATCTTGCAGACGGAGCTGTCACATCTGGTGCTCGGCTTGTAAGCTAATGGCGGACATTCAGCGAATGTTCCTTGTTGATTGCGAAACTTACGAACCTCGATGCCGCCGGACGAGGAAGGGTTGTAGAAGGCCTAAGGATACAATGAGTTGTACACTCGGCAAGCCCCTGTTGAAGGACGTACTGCTAAATGAACTTGAACAGATTCCCTTATAAGTCGCTCTGCAAGTCCATAACTCTAAATTTAATTGGTATGGAGCTATAATCAGTCAGCAAAGAAGCATATTCACCTGAAAGACTTCAATAGTTCGAGGTGAAAGCCCATCAGCTTGACCGGTGGTGACTCTAGCAGCCCTGATGGACAATCAATTAAGCAGGAATGTCGATAGCCATCGACCCATTTACCTTTTATCAACGACCCGTACGTTTACTCTCGCATTTGCCAGCGCATTCGCACACATGAGCCCAGCGGGGCCAGCCCCAACAACGAGAACATCGACTTCAGAGTGGCGCGCGACGGGGACAGGCATTTTGAACGACTAAATCATGGGAGAAAACGTCTAACGTCTTTATATAGGGGTGCAGGTGCGGGAATTCTGATCCTTAAGAGAGCATTCTTGAGAACGGCCGAGAGTTGGCACGCGAACCCACGGGTAAGTAAACAGTCATGATGAATTACCCCTGGAAGATGCCAAGTCAAATAATTGTGCGAGTTGAGACTAAACCCGTGCTTACCAAAACCATCTGCATGAAATGCCGGACTCGGAGAGGACCCGAGAATTAGGGCACAAAGTATCGTATCCACAATGTTCAGAGGATTTCGTGAGAGCAATTGACAGACATTGGGATATATATATCAGCCTATCTCAGAGTAGCAGCAGCAGCGCATACTTCAATCCCCGACCGCGGAATCTCCGGATAAGAGTATGTGGCAGGCGATCGAATTTTTCCATCCTACAAACAGTATACCCGTGACACATTTCAATAGGAATTCCTTAATTGAAATGTGTAGTTGTTCATAATGCGTTAGACAAGCGCTTGATGGGAGAACCACCAGAATAAAAGTCCCGCGCTGGAACGTGGCGTCGATGTGGTCGGTTGTTGAGATTTTACAAGGAGTAAAGGAGCTGGCAAAAAACTGTGTCTGAGTTTTGGGTGACGCAACGTCGCTCTGGGTTCCTCGTGATCAAGTCCACCAAAAATTGACAGTCTAGCCGACCTTGTCACAGGCCATAGACAGATGGAGGGATTGGAAGATAGCGAGATTTGGCTTGAGTGGGACTCTGTGAGAAACGCTGTGAAATACATAGACTCGTCTATAAATCGCGCGCCGAAGGTTAAACCTAAACTGTGTGATCTGGACCGCATTCAAAACAATGGAAGTGACTCCCCCTGTTCACGTTCATGACGCCATTCAAACCGTGTACTCACCACATGATACTGACAGACCGAGTCATGGCAAGGACGAGCTACGGTTACCGGCAGCCGCATCAAATGGGCTTTAGAGCGATACAAAGCTCTCTGAGAATCCTCCGAAATGATCAGTCCCGGGGCCTGAGTCCCTGGCTGTCCCTGTGCGGCGATTACCAATCAAAAATCAATTAATCCGGAATCCGGAGTACGTCCAAGCAATTTTACCGAAAGGCTAGCATTATTGCTTCTCGAGCACAAGCAGGAAAGCTCAACATTGCAAATGACACTGAGTATTGATTGTCAACGATATTCTCGAACGTTGGGCGAGGGAATCTGACCAATGAGCAACTTGAAGTTTGGATGATGTCTGTGTGTGAGTCGGTGTAACTATTTCGCATACAAGTGCTCTTTACTGCTGACTAATCCACCCACTTCCTCGTGATAACGCTTTTGATGGCAGAAATGATTCGAAGTTCGTCAAATTTGTTGGTTCTACCAAGTTCTAATGTTCTATGAAGCTCGCCTGATTTCATTATCATCGGCTCATATCAGGTGCCCTCGGCCCTGACTTCAAATTTAAATTTGCATGCGCCAGCAGATGTTAGCTCTAGTTGTCGGATGGTCATTGGTCATCCTGAGAATGATATCGCTCCCCATCTTATTCTTAACAAGCAGCCGGGACCATCCTTTTCGTACATGACAGCGGCGTACAGCAGATTTGAAAAAAGACTGGGCCTGACATGATAAAGTGGTCTTCGAGAGGCTTGCTCCCGTGAGATCGATCATCCCGACTTGGATGCGCAACGAATGGCAATATAGCAAGTGAGGAGTAACAGCGGGGATCAGTACAACAGAGGGGTACGAAACAAGTACACAACGACCTTCGGTGTGATGGTGGAGCCTATCGCGTGATGGATGTCCGGGAGCATCCGCGGCGACGCGCGTGACCGATATCCTAAACCTACACCGGCCCCGGGTATAACGCGGTAGGAACTTTTAGACTTACGGAGATATTCATGAGCCACACACTCATCGAAAGGGGTGAACACATGTACTTACACTGAATAGTTGTCAAAGTTACACTTCTCCGTAGAGAACGCATTGGGAATATTCATCCATTTCGACTCCTTCTCGGGTTGAGAGAATTTGCCGAACCTGATCGCAAAGCAAGAGTGCATTTAAATTTAAGCGTAATGACAGGCATGCACATACCTCTTCAGGTGGGTTGAGACCAAACGAAGCAGCTCTCTCCCAACGCTCAAGACGTGTCATGCCGACACACGGACCATACTCGTATGACCTAACAAAAGCTCATTAGTCTAGCCCCTTAGGAACGTGCGTAGTAAACGTACATGTCAAACACACGGAGTATCTGATGGATTTTATTCTGCCCTTCGGCATGAACTAATCATACGTTGCCACTTTAACCTCGTGGACGATAGAGGCGCATATAGGTGACTCACTCGGTTCAAGGTGGCCCATCTTTTCTCGTACTTGTCCATAGAGCTTGCGGAAGTTCTTGTCTGACACATCTAAACTCGACCATTTCTCCGCAGGTTTGACAGCAGGCGGTTCATCCTTTAGCCTCTTCACTGAACTAGATTTTGATGCTTTCGTGACATTGAGATCTCCACTCCGCTTCACAGATGCTGGCGAGTACTCCTCTTCTGAAGATATCTCAAGCACGTCGTAACTGTCCTCTTCGTTGTGTATCTCCTCATCTTCAATTCTCTGTTTTTCAATCAAAGAAGATGACCGTCGTGCGGGGGGAGGTCCCTTCGTCTTAGTAGTCGTGTGTGAATTTGTGCGTTTGGCACTGGAAAATGCCAAGGTGCCTTGTTTGAGGGCTGAACCATTATTGTTTCGTGAGCTTGACTTCTTTGTTGTGGAGGTCATTGTGGACTTGGTTCGAATTTAAGGGTTGACAGGGGGCCGTAATAACAAGTCTCACATTGAGCTTTGGCTATGTGTTCGTCATTATATTTGGATGAGTTCATTTCACAACGGCCGACTAGCTCAGTTGGTTAGAGCGTCGTGCTAATAACGCGAAGGTCTTGGGTTCGATCCCCACGTTGGCCATATTTTTTGGCCTCATCAAACGTGAATCCAAATCCAGCACTAAACCTAAAACGTACGGTCGCACCTTGTAATTAGCTTAGGGGTCAAGTATTTGTTATTGTTTGTCATGTGCCACGTAAGGAGTTTCGGTTTGTATAATCCCACAAAATCCAAACGCCTTCCGAATCATTTCTTTTTCTTTATTCGTCCGCTCTTCAAGCTACACGATGAGCGCATGTAAGTTTAAAATATATTAGTCGACTCATGATGGTACTGACTGTAGTTGACAGTTCGGTTTCTGAATCTCGTCCGACCATTCCTTCCCCTCCTACCAGAGGTTTCTTCACCAGATCGTAAGGTATGTGCTATACGCACCTTTGTAGATCAGAGCCAATCAAGTTCCTTCGTTTTTAGGTTCCTTTCAACCAAAAGCTGTTATGGACCGCCGTTACACTACTTATTTTCCTGGTCTGCTCTCAAGTACCACTATATGGCATCATGTCTTCAGATTCGTCTGACCCTCTATACTGGATGCGTGTCATCCTTGCCTCCAACCGTGGAACCCTCATGGAGCTCGGTATAAGCCCTATCATTACGTCCGGAATGATCATGCAACTATTGGCTGGCGCAAACTTAATCGAGGTCGACTTCAGCTTGAAGGAAGACCGCGCACTGTTCAGCGGTGCACAAAAATGTACGTGTCATTTCGCTGCTTTCCGAACCTTACTGACATGCTTGTTTCAGTATTTGCTTTGATTATTTCACTTGGCCAGGCTACTGTATACGTCTTGACAGGTCTATACGGACAACCAAGTGATCTCGGTGCTGGTGTTTGCCTTCTCCTCATAATTCAACTCGTCACTGCTGCCCTCATTGTTATCCTCCTTGACGAGCTCCTTCAGAAAGGTTACGGTCTCGGATCGGGGATTTCCCTTTTCATTGCGACCAACATCTGCGAATCCATCATCTGGAAGGCTTTCTCGCCCACAACTGTCAATACTGGCCGTGGTCCTGAGTTCGAAGGCGCCATCATCGCGCTCTTCCACCTCCTCTTCACGTGGAACGACAAGGGACGTGCACTCCGCGAGGCGTTCTGGCGTGACAGGCTCCCAAACGTCATGAACCTCCTTGCGACTGTCATCGTGTTTGCCGCTGTCATTTACATGCAGGGCTTCCGCATTGAAATCCCCGTCAAGAGCAACAGATTCCGTGGTCAGCGCGGCAGCTACCCCGTCAAGCTATTCTATACCAGCAACATGCCCATCATGCTCCAGAGCGCACTTACATCAAACGTGTTTATTTTGTCGCAAATGCTCGCAACGCGCTTCCCCTCCAACATCTTGGTCAAGATTCTTGGCGTCTGGGAGGTCGGTCATCAATAACTTGATGATTTTAGCATGTACTGAATGTGTATTACAGCCTCTAGAAGACTCTCCCCAGCTCCGGGCCGTAGCCGGTCTCGCATACTACATGTCGCCCCCTCACACCATCAAAGAAGCCTTCCTCGACCCCATCCACACACTTCTCTATATCACATTCATAGTTTCTGCTTGTGCGCTCTTCTCCAAGACCTGGATCGAGGTGTCTGGTAGTGGCCCACGTGAGATCGCTAAACAGCTCAAGGACCAACAGATGGTCATGGCTGGTCACCGTGAGGGTTCGATGTACAAGGAACTCAAGCGCGTCATCCCAACCGCTGCTGCTTTTGGAGGCGCTATTCTGGGCTTGCTTTCTGTTGCCGCTGATCTCATGGGCGCTATTGGAAGTGGAACGGGTATTCTGATGGCTGTCACGATTATCTACAGTTGTAAGTGCTTTGTTCCCCGAAAAGGACATTCGTGCTGACTGACGTACGTCTTGCGTTTTAGACTGGGAGATAGGTATCAAGGAGTCTGGTGGATCCGAAATGGCAGCGCTGAGCGACCTCATGTAAATACCGAAAGTGTAGCTGTTGTCGAGTCTCTGCTTGATTACATGGACCTGATTCAAAACCTCACTGACTGACGATCGTTATTGCGACGACGAGAATGAGTCCTCGACTATTCACTCCACCAGAACGAGTGGACTACGCAAGAAGACGAATCTATTTCTACGGTATAGTGGGGCAGGTGCGATCCAGAGAACAAATTCGTATGGACGAATAGGTGGCACCCCAGAGTGCCCCAGGGGGACAAACGAGATTTCTGTTCAAGAAATCCGATGATCTTCAAGCTGATTCTCCACTGTGATATGCTGCATGCCCGTATGTGGCTTCTCAGTCGCCACCCCCACTCGCGTTGTGTGACAGGCTAGAAGCACACCTTCACCTTCACCAAACTCAAACTCAAAAGAAATCAACACAAAACAAAAAAATTCTCATATAAAACCACTCAATGGAACTCATGCTGCCTCCCCCCCGAATGGAAGTGGAACCCACCCCCCTGGCCCCCTTGCCCACCAAACCCACCACCAAACCCACCACCACCAAATGGGCCCCCACCTCCACCCCCACCAAACGGCCCCCCACCCTGAAACTGCGAAAATATCTCAGCCAAATCAGCAGTATTAAACGCCCCAGCGCCTCCCATCCCACCCTCCGTCTGTCCATCTTCGTCTTCGCCCATGTCGTAGCGTTCGCGGCGTTGAGGGTCGGAGAGGACTGCGTTTGCTTCTACTACTAGTTTGAATTTTTCTTCGTCGCCTCCCTGTGTGTTAGTATGAGCATTGCATGGGAAGGAGTGGGAAGAGGGGAAGGGGGACGGACTTTGTCTGGGTGGTGTTTGAGACTTTCTCGTCGGTAACCTTTCTTGATTTCGAGTTCGGTGCAGTCTTTAGCGACACCTGGACCCAATCAAATCGTGAGACCCATTTCAATAGCACGATGAGAAGGTGCTAACCAAGGATGCTATAATAATCTTTCGTCTTGCTCCTCTTAAGCGCAGCTTCGGCTTTCTTGAGCTCACTTCTGAGGGACCTGACGTCAGCTTCGACCCCTTCGAACTCGGCTTGTTCCATCGATGCTCTGAAATCTGCGATGGAAGCATCGTATTTGTCGAGATGGAGGTTGATGCGTGCGCGGGTGCGGAGAGCTTTAAAAGATGTCGGGTACAATGCAAGAGAGGCTTCAGTATCTACGAGTGCTTCTTCGTACCGGTCGAGCTAAAGGACAGTTAATCCAAGTAGTATGATACATTTTAGATGATGTACCTTTACGAGGGTGGTAGCGCGATTCGAGAGAAGAGTGGCCCGGATTTGCCCACCTTTGCCTTCTTCTTCGACTTCACCTATTCGCTGAAGGAAAATGATCAATATCGTTGCTGGAGATATGAGGAGAAGCGTACGTCAAGAGCTTCGGTGTATCGTGCGATTGCGTCTTGTAGCCTGCTACCTTTGAAGGCGGTGTTTCCTTCTTCCTTCAGGCGCTCAACGTCTTTTACGCGCTTGCGCAGCTGTTGGGCAGGCTCGTGAGCGGGATCAAGCCGAAGCGCCGAAGCGACGTGTTGCAGCGCTTGGGATAGTTTACCACTGAGGAAGAGCACAAGACCACGGAGTGCAAGGACTTCGGGGGAGTTGGGTTCTAATCGAAGAGCATCGCTGGAAGACGGTGCTCAACGGTCAAAGATCCCGGGTGTGATAACGTCAAACTCACTTTGCAGCAATGTTTGCAGCATCCCAGTTGCCTCGGGAGAGCTCGAGTTCGACTCTCCATAGACGCCACTGAGTTGGTATTTCGCCGCCCTCACCTTCGATGCTTTGTAGACATTTATCTAATGCGAGGCGTGCCATGCCCCATTCCTTTCGCGTGCGTGAAGACTCGAAGTTGCGTAAATGAGCTTGTAGTTCAAGGACTTTATCTTTTAGCTGTACTGCAGCAGCGTTTGTTGGCTCAAAAGCAAGAACAGAGCGTAGAGTTGTTAATGCAGGCTCTGATAAGCCAAGTGCGAGTTGACAACGTGCGAGACGGATGAGAGTCTTGGATGAGGGTTCGGCGGATTGAAGTGTAGCTGCTTGTTGGCAATCTGTTAGTGCGGGGCGGAAACGCTTTAAAGCCATGTATGAGGCAGCGCGATTAGTCAGATATGATGGTTCCGTGGGTTTAATGTCTGGAGATAGTTTTATCAGTGGTGGGAGGGAGAGGGGGTGGATGGGGGGATTATACCGATAGCCTTGGTATAGAGTTCGATAGCCTCGGTGTATTGTTTTGCTTTGAAGGCAACGTTACCGCGCTCTTTAACGTCATCTGCAGAAGGACCCTCTTGAGGAATAGGGAAGCCATTGGTTGTGGTGCTAGAAGTTGAGGGTGACACTGGGGATGTAGGTTCCGGAGGTGGGGGGCTCTCAGCAGGAGGTTCATTTTGGCTAAAGAAGGAAGTGAGTTGTATGTAATTAGATGAAGTGAGATCATACTTTACGCCATTGGTCTGTGGACGTTGTGCTTGCTGTGTGGCAGCTGCAGCCTGGGGGGCCTGCTTTTTCTTTGCCTGAGTCTTCTTTCTTGTCATCAGAGCAAGCCTACGGATGAGTGAAAGAATCAAGATGGAGGTATATGAACCCGGGAGTCCCCTGAGCGCTCAAAGGCCTAGTTGAACAGTTTTGAAAATGGGCAAGTCGAGTGTGTTCTGAGTTCTCTGCGAACGCCGACGACGACGATGGATGAATATTCCTAAGTCACGTGGTTACCATAGAGTCACGTGGATACACTCTTGCTAAAAATGGGCGCCTCCTGGCTTTGACCCTCACGCTACACTGCTTGCCTCACTGCGAACATGACTCTGGATGAAAGAGTTGGCAGTTTCATGCCGATCGTATCACCACCCACTCCAGCTCCTTCACCTCGACCATCCTTTCCCTCCCCCTTCTACCCCGATTCAAGCACCCGAAACACATCCCCATCCCCTTACGATCCCTCAATCCCATCCGAGTTTTCAAATCTAACCGGAAATCCCGCCTCTCGCAAACAATACCTCGTCTCCATCCTCCACGAATGTTCCCCAGCCGAACTCCGCTTCATCTCCCAAACAATCACCCCCATGCTCAAACGCGATGTCCTAACAGAACTACCCGCAGAACTCGCCCTCCACATCCTAGCTTATGTTGACGACCCACGCACTCTCGCACGCGCAAGTCAAGTCTGCAAACGTTGGCACGACCTCGTCTCAGATGACTGGCTATGGAAGGTCTTATGTGACACTTACAGCTTCCGGGCTGATACAGAAGACAAGACGGGCACTAAAGTCTTGGAAGACGACGAATCTTGGGACGAAATGGATAAATTCGGTTCGAATCCAATCGATCCATGGCTCACCGCGCGAGATCGACTCAAACGGCAAGAACCCTCTGTATCACATTGGGGACCATACTCCTCCGATGAACTTCTTCTTCCAAGAACTCAGTTTTCTCATCAGGAATATTTCAGGCGTGCTTATGGTACAAGTACGGATCACTTCTTACCCCGCGCGTCGTCACTAATAAACCATGAAGTGCTCAATCTGAGAAAGGGCGGTAGCATCCTCCGCGCTCACCGCATGCCCATCCCAACACCCGACAGCGGTGTCATCACATCCGTTGCCCTCGACACCGAATGGGTAGTCGTCGGCCTCGCAAACTCCAAGATCCACATGTTCAGCGCAATCACAGGCGTACTCAGCCGAACTCTTGTGGGACACGAGCAAGGCGTATGGGCAGTTAATCTCGTCTGTCGTGGCGGGTATTGGGGTCGTGGAGAGATGGATGAAGATGGTTACCCGGATGATGCAGATGATCCAGTCGTACCCGCTGGCCTAAAGACCGCCCTCGGCATCGACAGACCAAGGCGAATGCGACGCCCAGCGAGCGTTGGAGGCGACTCCTCGAAGCCGAGCGATATTTGCTGTACCAGCGAAGGATGGGGCCAGCCCAACTCTATCATTGTCAGTGCTAGTTGCGATAAGACGCTACGCGTTTGGGACGCCAGATCTGGGTAGGTGTCTGGGTTCGTCATGCTAGACTTATAGGCTTACCGGCGCTTAGCCATTGCATCTACGTCCTCCGTGGGCATACCGCTACAGTCAGATGCGCCCGAGTACTGCACAACCGTCCGATCGCAGTGACAGGCTCTCGAGACTCCACTCTACGTGTTTGGAACATACAGAAGGGTGTTATGCTCCGCGTACTCCATGGCCACACTGCGAGCGTAAGATGTCTCGACGTATGTGGCAACAAGGTCGTCAGTGGAAGTTATGATACCACATGTCGAGTAAGTGTTATTTCTGGAGCGGGTGCATATGATGTTGACTTGAGTTTGTAGATTTGGGACGTTGATACCGGTGAATGCTTACGAGTCCTCCGAGGTCACAGTCATCAAATCTACTCCATCGCAATCGACGGTAACCTTGTCGCTTCAGGGGGAATGGATACCATCGTCAGAGTGTGGGACGCAACCACAGGGTAAATACACCGTCGCACAATCTGACACAATCTTACTCATTCATCTACAGAAACTGCGTCGCTCAACTCACAGGCCACACAGCCCTGGTCTGCCAACTCCAACTAAGCACTACCACAAGCCTCCTTGCAACAGGCGGTTCCGACGGCCGCGTCATCACATTCTCCCTCCGCTCATTCAGCGCCCTTCAACGTCTCGCAGCCCACGACTCCAGCGTCACGTCACTCCAATTCGACGCCAATTTTCTTATTACGGGTGGCAACGATGGAAGGGTGAGGGTGTTTGAGACACAGAACGGGATGTATGTTAGGGATTTGAGTGAGCGGTGTGAGAGCGTGTGGAAGGTTGCTTATAAGAAGGGGACATGTGCAATTATGTGTAAGAGGGCTGGGAAGACGGTTATAGAGATTTGGACTTTTAAACCCAAGGAAAGATGATTTTTCATGACTCGTTGTAGGGATGTAAGATTGTGATGAATGTACGTTGTACCAAGCATTAATTGAATCTGGTTTGGTTTGATGGATTCAGGTGGGGAGGATGGTGTACAAAAAATATGGCCAACGTGGGGATCGAACCCAAGACCTTCGCGTTATTAGCACGACGCTCTAACCAACTGAGCTAGTCGGCCGATGGATAGGAAGGCCATCATACCTCAAAGGCATCCTCCATTCCAAACACACACTGTGTTTACTCCAGTGGGAAGTGGTCAGTCGAGAAAGATTTAATGGAGCCTAACACATCGGCGGTTTGGGAGTTTTCTGCTATGCAAGACTTATTTCGAAATGTTATTGATCAATTTGGTATTTTCACTGCACATTTTGATATAATAGCATTTCAAAACAAATCTTGCATAGAGGAAAACTCCCAAACCGCCGGTGTATAATGTACGTGCTCTGTTACTGGGTGTGACATGCTCCAAATAAGGCAGTCACATAATTGGAACACCGTGCACCCTTGACAAGTGGAGGGCACCGGATTTCTCAAAAGTCTGGTGTGTCTGCCTGGTCCGGCTGACCACAATAGCACCAAACATAGCATTTTTTTTGCGGCTTGTTCCTTTGGAGGTGTGAGGTACAAACACCAAGGAAGCTCGAAGCCTTGCAGATGGCATACAGAACCAACAGCCTGAGTGGCTATGACTTGGCTCTGCCACTGTTTTGGTGAACTGGGGCAGTTAATGATTATGGAGGATATGACATGGCTCTTCCTCTGTATGAGGCTGTCACAGTTCCACTAGGTGCCATTCCGGGATTCACTATTTCCTTGTCTCCCCATTTTCCCATTTTTCCTCTTTCTCTCATTTGCTCTCTCCAACATCTCCAACACTTGCCTCCTAGTGCGGCTCGTAGTATTGTTGCTACAATGAGGCAGACAGGCGGATGGACAGGGGACCCAATGGACCATTGAGAATTCTGGTTTCTTGGACAAGTGTGTCAGTTAGTGCCCTGTATGACTATCCAATGGCTACATCACTCTGTATTTGTTTCCAAGAAGAAAGTACTAAGTCCCGGTTCCAAGAAGAAAATTCTAAGTTTCACATTCTCCTTCTCAAACTGACTCACAGTTGTCTCGATGTTTCCATCCCCCAAAATATCATAGCAGCCATCACCGACCGATCTATCTGATGTGTCAGATCAACATAAGGAGCCCAACACTCAAGCAACTCATGGATGTGTCAGAATTTGAGGGTCAGTGTTGTACTCCCTAATTTTAAAGGTATTGTGTCAGTCTCAGCGCACACTGGTATATTGTTTGCACACCTTGATACTCAGATATAAATGCCAATTTACCAGTCTTGGTGTATTGTATGTGCTGTGTGAATGAAAAGAACACTGCCAAGTCATAGCCATACTCATCATAATCAATCAAAGGGTTGGTGTCCTTCCACTGTAGGAACCATCTGTACTCTGGCCTCACAATGGTTGATTATACATCATTTGGAGCTCACCTGGTCAGGTATCATTTCCATGGTCATCTGCTCACTTCTGTCGGTATCCGTCCCAACATGCACCTAATGGATATGCATTCCATAGCGGACATCATCAGGATCTCTCGGGTTCTGTCCATCCATATCCTGTTCATGCACGTCCATCCCTATTGGTGCGTCATTAATCTCTTTTTGTCACTCTGATCATCCTCAGTCCGTATTACATGTGCGTTCCCATGCATGAGGCCGCTTGTCATCATTTACATATTATCCTGCTGTGGACTTGCCTGTACTTACCGCTATGCTTAGGACTTTCTGAGTTCTTACAGATCATGTTAAATAGTCGCACTGACCTCTGACAATACTACTTCCTTCTACTCCCTTGGACTTAGTGTTTAAGTTTGTGTGATCTTAAGTCCCCTTAGTCTTTCGCTCCACGGATCCAGCATGGACCCTTTGTGCTCTCGCTCTCTCCATACTTTGTGCTCCTTGTCTGTACCGTGGATTACTACCGGTAGCTCGTTACATCGAGACCTTGAGACCTTGAGACCTTGAACCCTAGAAACTTCGTAGATTCATAGCCATACTGCTAGGCATCTGCTCCAAGTTATCTGTCCTTGCATCGGACTCCGCCTATTACAAGTCCTTCCATTCCGCATCCATAGCGGGTTGGATAGATCATAAGCCCACAGGCTTGATTCCTTCACCTTATCATGGAGAGTATCTTTCAGTAGAAATCCCCTTGGGACAAGCAAACATACTTGCACTCATCCAGATCGGTAGTCTCTTTCTACGGACTTCTCAAGATTACTTTCTCACACTGTGACAGACAGGTATGGATTGCCACTGTCCGAAGTCCAAGAATCACACGTGAAGGACACTTGCCCAGGAATTTCCTTGAGACACTCACAAAAGACTCGACTATTTTAGCACGACAAACAATCTCATCCTGTACTTTATGCAGGTGTGGGATATCTTTCTCAGAGAGACCTGGGCAAGTGTATGTGAGAAGTCGCCGAAAAGCACTGTAGGAAACCTCCAGACTCTGGCCTCACAATTGATACTTTACTTACTTTATGTTGGCACTCTTATTGCTTACATAATCCAGTCAATCTTTCACCAGTACCAGTCTGAGTCTGTCTGAGTGCACAGTCTTTATTCTTGATGTCTTTTTCTCTGTGAGCACTGAGCCTGGAGCAGAGATCCTTTAGGGTCGAACTAGCCTAGGCCATCAAGACCCAAAATTTCCCAGCACCTCAGCAGCATTGTTGTACCCACAGCGCCCTTATCCACAAGTTGGAAGGCTTCATCTTCGGCAATAATCAGTTCCACAATGTAGTCCAGCAATCCAGCAGTAGTGAATGCTGGTACACGATGCTCTTTTACAACTGCACCGCCCAAAGTCTTCTGATTAGAGCTAAAATCAGAATCTTTGTTAGATACATAGTGAAACACAACAGATCACAATTATACACTAGCGAGGAATGAGCTCAGTAATGTTATGAGACAATACTATATTGGTAGTACTTAGCGAGGAACGAGCTAAGGTACATCAGTACAAGATAGGTGTGAGACTAAAGACTATATTGGTAGTACTTAGCGAGGAATGAGCTAAGGTACATCAGTACAAGATAGGTGTGAGACTAAAGACTATGCATATGTAACATAGTGATTAGCTAAGTTGTACCGGAGGATCGACATGTGGAAATGTCATGTGGTGTGGAACACAAGAAGCTTCTATAGCGTATGGTGTCGAAGGTGATGTCAAGATAAGAGATAGTGCGGAAATGGTAAGTGAGTAGCTAATAATGATCACATATAGCATGTCATCTGAAGGTAGTGCACACATGTGTGGCTCAACTCCATGCTTGTAGCAACAATCTTTGTAGAGCTTTGTATGATCCTTATGCCTGAAAAGCATGCACTGTCAGGTATATATGTGGAAAATATAACAGACAGCTTACCTTCGAATATGAGCATGAAGGGAAGTGACACTGCCCTTCAAAAAACTAAACTTGCGGGCAACCCCATTTTCCCTGAAAAGCACAATTTAATAGAGGTGAAGCAGCATAAAATGTCCAAAACTCACTTGCAAATCTCACACCAGTGCCCATCCTCTCCCTTGCCAGTATCAGGGTTGATAGCTTTCACTTCACGGGTGAAAATGGTCCGAATATATGCTGTCAAGTCACTTTTATGACATTTGGCACCCTGCGCAGAGAAATCAATTTGTTAGAAGGCAGCAACTCGAAAGATTCACTTACTGTTACGACAGAAGTCGTATTCGAACTGGGATGGTTAACGAAGAGAGTACTTCCTCTAAGTTATCAATCAAGGGTCGGAGTGTCAGTATACTCGGTGGCCTCAGCCGTCGGGTTATGACTGAAGGATAGGTAAGCTTCTAAGGCGACAGCCGAAGAAGGTTTTTGCTGTTGACTATGAAGTCTAGGCGAGAGATCGGTATCGGCTCAAAGACGGATAGTCTAAGAGAATCAAAGATAATATTGACTCAAGGATAGCGATCCAAGAGTATAGCAGTTTCATAATCAAGGTCAAGAGATCAGGTGATCGTTCAGTAAAACCCAGTAGATTCAAGTTAGGGAAATACAGTACAATGGAGTCAACTATATATAGGGGAATAGGAACAGTGTTCAGGGCAGGTCAGGGAACTAAAGATAGATATATCAGGAAGGTAGGGTCGAGGGTATATGACCATGAGGTCAGGGATCAGGGTTTGTGAGAAGATCAAGGGAAATAGAAGTACAAGCCGCGAGGCAGAAGATCAAGGGTTCAAGGAAGCGTCTAGCTTCTGTCACAGAAGGTCAGGGTTGGCGGAGATCAAGAAGTGTGCGTCAAGCATCGTGAAGAGGTGATAGTTGTGACGGTGTGACAGGGTGAAAGGGTGAGAAAAAGATAGGGGGGCCATGTTACTGTAACACTTACCTCACAGTCTACATCACCCATCTCTTTGGTTTGCTGGTACGTCGATGGGGGGGGGGGGGGGGGGGGCATCACCAGTACGTGTGTCCTCGTCATCATCCCATTCAGGGACTTCAGCCACTGCATCCTCATTGGACTTGTCCTCACTCTCGCTAATGACCACTTGATGTGTGGACTTGTGTTTTGCCAAAACAGCATTATTGGGGTCAGTAAGTTTAGATGCAGGGTGTGGAACACGTGCAGAGCAACATGATCCTGCGACAGTGATGGCAGGGATGGAAAAGATGTGTGAGAAGTACTGGGCAGCAGGGTGTTGTCATCCAGATTGTGAAACCAGGTAATATCCTTGGGATCAAGGAGAGTACCATTAGCACCTACAGCATACTGGTCATTCAGCAGCATATTGAGAACACAAAGTTAGTAAATTCACGTTGAAATGCTTACTTTTGAGTCTGTGTGTGGTGTGCGCCAAGGCCCAAACAGTGCCTGGCTCAATCTTTGAGTGCTCTCCACATGGAGTTTTGACTACTGAGTTATTAGTACAAATGATACAAAACCTGCACTAGAAAGTACCTGTAAATCTGAACTCTCCTGATGCAATCAGAGTTCTTCACAACACGAGATTGCTTGAAATATTTCTGACATTGAATTGTGTCAGTGTGGTGGTAACAAGACAAGTTGATTGATTATCAATAAGCTGACACAATGTTGCTGAGCTATAATTAGTTTATGCACTGTTAGTGTTACTAACAGTAATCATACTGCATCAAAAGTGTATACTCAGATTCAGCGTTTGGACATGTTTGGACATGTTCAAGATGGTTCTCAATCTCTTGAACAGAGAACTGGACCCTTGGTTCGGTTCTCCATGGTCCTCGAATGTGGAACTGAACCTTTCCATCACTAGGAGAGAGGGGGGGGGCATACCATGCAACAGGATATTATCCTATGGTCCTGGGCTCCTAATACATTGTTCATATTGTTGAATAGATGCTGGGAATCATTTTTACAAGTCAGTTCACCTAGAACTAATTACATGGGAACATATTCTGTGTTTTATTGCATATGTGCTATATCTATTACAGCAGTTTGAAAAAGTAATGGCACTGGCCAATTTTTTCACACGTGCGTGACAAAAAAGGAAATCACTGGACGTGACGTGTCTTCAATGCCAGGACGCAACTTCCTGCAATTCTACACAATACCTAAGTCTTTTCAGCCATAGTACTGTTTTCATTTCACGTCCTCACACCAATCTGTATCCACGGCAAAAAAAAAACAAAGCACTGCTAAGAAGCTTTCTTTCAAACTCCCTGCAGTAAAGCAGCCAGACAATCTGGATGAGTTGCTCGAATACCCAAGTCCACTTGTGCCCGCTATCGACAATGACAAGACAATACACCTTTCTGAGGCCGAATGGCTGTTCAGTGGTGAAGAGGACCAGCTACAGGCTGAAGATAATGAAGTAGAAGTCAAAGAACTGGGTGCCATTGAAGAAGATGAAGATCATCAGTCTGAGGACAGGTTCAGCATAAATTCAGCCATTGATGGTATATCGAGCAACACTTTACCTGCCTGTTGCTAACAGAGATGTCTTGATAGGTACTGAACTTACATTCGTCAACATGGACCCTTCGAGCCATGATGTTTCTTGCAAGCGAAAGCAATTAGCTGAGCACGTCTCGGCTGATGAAAGGTTACTGAAGGCTCCCAGCAAGAAGCGGAGATTAGTTGATGACAAGGTCATTGACAAACTGCTGCTCAGGAAGTCAAAGAAAGCAACAATGCGAGGAAAGAGAGTCTGCGAGAGAAGTGTTCCACTGAGTGATGCTAGTGAAGGCATGGCAGATGAAGATGCTGATGCACCACGAACATTCACAGTCTACGTTCAAGTCTGGTCAGCATCCTCGACCACAGAGAAAAAAGCAAGCAAGGCAGTGAAAGGCCCAGCAATAATAACCAGAGGCCCTTTCAAAACTGACATGTCACAAACTTTCCAGAACTTCAAGGAGGCAGTAGCAGATGTCTTACCATGTTGACTGATGATGTTGCCTGTCTCTAAATTTGAGTGGAAGTTTGAGAACCCACAAAACGCACCTTGCAAGAAGATTGCCAATGCAGCTGGTTTCGAGGTGTTGATTGATGCTGTCAGAGCAAAGCAGACAAATGATAATGTCATTGTTTGGTTATATACTCCAAAGCCTGTGAAGGAGGAAGAAGTACGTACAATGCTAACATTCAAGTTACTTTTGCTTCATTCACTGATTTTGTGTCGACTAGGATTGGGACACAGGGAACCCCGACTGCGTTAAAAACCCATTAGATTTTGATGACGAAGCTGGGCTAGAACAGGGTATGACATCCAAAAAGTCACTAATTGTAGGTGATAAGTATGATAGCACTGTACCTCTGACGAACACATTGCAGGAAGGGATGGCTGCCAAACGAGTGATGGCAGAGATGGAACTTCAGACACTCTACCCATGGTGTTAGTGCCCGATATTTCCACACATGCGTGTATGGCATATTAAGAACAACAACACGTACTTTGAGCTCACGCAGATGCGCATCAGCATGTGGACAACAGCTATTGTGAGTTCTCATTGATCAATTAAAACTGAAGATCTAACCTAAACATCTCTAGGCTGCTGGAAGGGCCACCACATTGATGCCTCCGACATCATTACACTTTGCGGATGACAAGAAATTGAAGATGCCATCATCAATCACACAACCCGCATCAGACACACCTATTTCAGCATTTGATGAATTTTACCATCAGCATCACAAAGAACAGATTGCAGCGGTGGCACTGCATGCACAGGTTCCGCAGGTGCCACCTTCAGCTCCACAGCCACAACACGTACCTCATGTTCCTCAAGGTCCACCTGGATACAGATTTCATCCTGGACACTACTATCCTCCATATATGCCACAACCCCCATTCACTGGTGGGTTTGGCTATTCCATACCACCTTACTATCCAGGTCCTCCTATGCAAGGACATACTCAAGGCTTCGGAGGACCTCCGCTTGCTGGACCACCTGGCGAAACATCTTCAGCTTCGTCGTCTCCTAGTGTGACCATGTCTCACAACATCCTATTATCAGAATTCTGCATCAAGTATAACATCTCTGCCAGCAATCAAGCCAAGCTTTCAGCACTCAAGTACATGCCTGGAAATCGAGCTGTCGAGGCATTTGAAGAAAAGGAATGGCATGATGTTGGACAATTCACCAAGCTTGGTTGGCAAGCATTCCTCACCACACATGTCCACAAGGGAAACACATTTTGTCCAGGAATTTGCTACAGAGACTTTGTATGTCTGAGTCTGAATCGGAGCCATGACTGGTGTGGTTGATGACTGAGTGAGATGGGGGGAGCATGTGATGATGGACCTGCAGTGAGTTGTGAATGCTGACTTACACATACAACTGCACCCAGCAATGATAACAGTCCCTGTCCTGCCACAGCTAGTGTCTTGCATACTGGTTTTAGTGAAGCAATATATCTCTGTGATTCATATACTTAGTTTAGTAAGAACCATACAATACATCAGGAAAAACTATTCTGCTATATAACTCTATATAGCCCTATATAGTCACAATAGTACCCAAAGCCACCAGAGGATCTATAGACAAGTGCCTATTATATAGCTCTCTATAGCTCTCTAAAGTTGCTATAGTTGGTGAAATATACTTCAACTATTGTAGCTCTTATAGCTCTTATAGTTCAAAATACAAAAGAATCTCTTAATAGCTGTTTGTTGCCAATATAGTAAAACTAAAAAAAAACGATAATTACAAATTATATTTCAACTACTACAATATATGTAAACTAATAACTACAAAACAGGCAAACATGCAAAAATACAGGAGGAAGAGGCAAGAGAACTAGAAGGAAGAATCAGAGTGGAAAGATGAATACAAAAAAAAACATACCAAATAGTGAAAATAGTGAAAATTATTGAGGGAAGAGGAGGAAAGGGAGCTAGAAGGAGAGTTGCATTGGAGGACCTGTCTTCTTTAAATGTGTCATTCCAAATTGAAGAAAATAATATAGTGGTCTTCGGCAATTATCATGTCTAAGGCCCAGTTCATTGAGCTAGCTAATTTAGATGATTCACCTCAAAACAGTGTACCAACCATACCCAATACAGATATCATAAATCTGCTTCTTGTGAGTGATGCTCATCATCTGCATGCAGCAATATTCAGGACACATTCTCAAGTTAATCTGAAATGTCCTTTGATCAGCATCATCATATCATGACTAATTGGAATAATCCATTAAAACTTTTCACATTTCTCGGAGAACACAATAGTGATTCAGCTGTTAAGATAGAAGGGAGGGGCAGTGGCACTACTCCGATAGGTGGTAGGTGCCTGGTGAAAGTTTCTGAGGTCTATTCAAAGACTGGACAGGCTGTGGCTATGATTCCTGTGAAATTCCACGAGTTTTGGTGAGAATGAATCGGATGATGTGAATACAAATCAAATTTGCACACTGCAAAGATTGGTGAGATCATTATTGAACTACCGTGACTCTAGTGCAACAGGAGCGGTGAGTATTTGGAACAGTACCAGTGGTCTAAATGTGTTTCATCTACTCTGAGGTTTGCAAAAAGAAGGATGAAGACCGAGGTGTCTGTGATCTCATAGCCATGTAGGTAATAAGTGAAGAACATCAGGGGGTTGAGTATGTCGTCTCGACGGTTGTTCATATGAGTTTGGTGGTCCATGAGTAAAAGGTTAGAATCTGATGGTTTAAGGTTTTGACAATCCACCAGAGTCTCTGACATTTTTGTGAGTCGTTTACAATCATGCAAGAGACTCAGTTTGCCACAATGGGAGTCACTTCAATTTCTGGAGTTTGCAAATCAGTTCTGCAAAGTGTAGGCAGGGCATGGTTCTCAGTAGTACATACTGGATGCAAACTTTAAATTGGCCTGACCAACAATCTCTGCAACATATTCCTCTGCATTACTCTTTTCCTTATCTGTTAGATTGTGAAGCCAGCCGGACATCATCACAGAGTTCAAAACAGCCCGCCTCTTTGTCCATATGATGGTGATATCATTAGGCATCTGATTGAATTGTCGAGGAGGACTGCAATCACAGCTTTCTGGTGTTTGATTTTAGACCGTATTGAAAGATGCAGACCAAATTCATTAAGGACTAAGTTGTAGGTGTGCTTCCTGCAAACTTGCATGATGTTCTTGCATGGTTTGGATAAGGTCATGTACAACACTTCAGAATTGTGTAACACCAATTCGATTCCATGTTCTGTCAACGCATAAACATGATGTCAGAGTCCCAGAGGGAGGCAATATTTACCTGTACTCAATGTCTTTGTAGCTGCCTCCTCCAACATCATGTCACTGTAAGTGGGCAGCCATTGGCCATAGCCAAATATCTGCAGTAGGATCTGAGCTATCTGCTTCCCTCACACTTCCACATTAGAGGGTGTGTAGCTACATACATATCTAGAGGACTTGGGACTTATTGTACTTACTTACTTTCCCATACTTGGTGTGACTATCTGTTTCCTGCCGAGTTATGCATAGAGCACTAATATCATCATATGGTGCACGTACTGTCTGCAAAGGCAACAGAAAAGCCAAATGTGTTGAGCCAGCCTATGGATACCAGTGTGTACCCAACTTTGGGTGAGAACAGAACCTCGGTAAGTCGCAGTTTTGACCATGTTCATCCCATTGGGCACTTGAATGACCATTATGCCAATTCTAGTAATGTTAAAATATTATTTGTTGGCTGCAGCAAAATTTTTTGAAGAGATGGTAAGGGACTCAAACTTGTCCTGGTAGAGGGATATATGCCTCGTAGAGCCTGAATTATACAGCTTGACAACTGGCATCTCAACACGCTCATTGCTGGCTTGGGCAGCCAGCTCAATAAGATTAACTAGGCATAGTACATCAACATCTTTCCCTACTTCCAAAAACCAATCTGCATAACTGGCAGCATAGGTTTTGCACTCATTGTCATCGGAGTCAGATAGGGTGAGGAGATCTGGTAAGTCAGAGTCTGGCTCTGTCAGGGAATTGACAGTGAACACATTGTCCTCCTCAGACCCACTTACTGCAATGGCAGTTGAGTCTCTGCTGACTTATCAGATTGCTTGCAGTCAGCCTTGAAGTGGTCTCTGGAACCACAGTTCCAGCAGGGTGGGCACTATCTGCCATGCCCATTAAAGCCCCCTCGCCTACTACCTCTTCCATAACCACACCCTCGACTAGAGAAATCTCCTGGGGCTACAGATAAGGCCTCCTCACTGTCTCATCCTTTTGTCATACCATGGCTGCTGCCATTTTGAATATCTTTGTCTTTGCGGCTTCGGCACAGTTTAGACTTGAGACCCTACCCGAGGTGAAATTGAGGGCCAAAGAGAACATGATACAATAACTATTTCAACAAGTTAATTTTAGTTTCATCCAAGGAGGTATCAGAAAAGGTGCTTGCCAGTCTTATTGATTAAGCACAATCAATAATTGTAAGTAACACAAAATATATTTTGAACTGATAATTGATATTGAGAGCAGCTGAACTCGCCCAATGGTCCCACGGGAATGAGGCAAAAAAAGACATAGACAAAATTGGTGTGAACGTGAAGTATCTGAGAAAGCAGATTAAAGATATAGCTTGGCCAGTGGTTTTATGTTGCTACGATTTGAATGACACCTTAGAAACCCAAACACAGGCAGAGATAGCACTTACCTTCCAAAACCTTCTGCAAGATGATGCGTTCCTAAACAGAAATATCAAGGTAAGTCATTCTTCCCTCTGAGTCCTTCTAATGCTCATGGCTTTATAGTCAGGTGGGAGGACAGATTATTACTGTGCCCTTTGCGAGCAAAGGAGTGTGAAATTTAACGCAGCACATGCTGTTCCACCAACTTACCCTCTAGCAATATGTTAACTCTGGCAGGAACCTTGAGGCATTACTTGTATTCATCAGGACATTGTTTGAGTGGGCATTGAAAGAATTATTTACTGGAATTTTTATCTCCAACGACTTTGACCTGTCCAGTGCCGGGATAGCTTTCAACAAAAAGCTAAATAGTGTCTACGCGTCAATGGCAAGTGATGTACGTGACATCTTAGTTACAGACATATACACCTGGAAAAGATCTGAGCCTTGAGGGGAGTAACAAGTGATGTTCATAGGGATCTGGCTTAGACGGACCTCAGTCATACACATGAGTGTGAATCAACTCCTGAGGTCCCAAACATGTACAGTAAGTAACTATACATATACTGTGGTGGATAGATAGATAGATAGATAGATAGATAGAATGAATGAATGATGTGCTGTATATATAGTATATGTCTGCCAGACGTCAGATATCTAGTGGGTAGCTACTGGAGACTGTCAACTGTAAGTAAAGTGAAACAAAACATAGCACTGCAATATAGTGTGTCAGGCTGAACAACTTGCCAGTTCCAATACACAGTAAACCACTTCAGGCATTACTTTTCAGCACCAAAAGTAGTCTTTCAGACCCAGTTTTTATGTTGTGGGAAAGTGGTCTCTGAAATCAACACTCCCTCCATCTATTAATAAAACATACTCCTAACCTACCTTGCCTCCAAATGGATCACATTGGTGTGTTTATTTTTCAACCATAAGCTTATTAACAAGCTGGGTACCAGGTATACAAATTAAAATGGAAGCATGCAGGGGCTGTCCTGAGGCTTTGTCAATGAAACTCAAGCTATAGACTAGCAATAGTCAACTGTTCCGGATGAAGCTGTGTCTTCTTACTTGAGGGTCTTATATAGAAGCATGTAAAAATGCAGTGACAATCACAACTACACTTTCATAAGACTAAAAGTTGCCAGCTCCGCAAGTTCACGGTCAATGGATTTTCTACTTCTTAGTTGATAATGTGTCGTTCGTGGGTGGTCAAAGAGTAAACAAGTTACCTCTATTTGTTTGAAGAAACTATATAGAAATGCAACTGTGGGTTTGTCGTGGATAGAAATATGATAGGTATGTTTCATCCTAGTAGGTCGTGTTTCAACCTATAAAAGTCCATTTCAACTTTGTCGTGTTCTCCTGTTTTGTGTCTCTCTAGCCATAAAAGAGAGAGGTATTCATTAAGTATACATGGAGCTTAGCTCAATAAAATAGTAATAGTGAACAACCTAGTGAATCATATAACTAGAAGTTACTTTGTTGAAATGATACTTGCACCCTCACTATGTCTTGCCTTAATCTTACTCGCAAATAGTGGGATAGGTTTACAGTGGAAGTTTAACTTAAATCTTACTTCACCTGCACTTTGACTATGTCTTGCCTTAATCTCACTCTCAAATAGTGGGATAGGTTTAAAGTGGGAAGTTTCAATGTCTTCAAGGCACCAATGGCCTGCACTTATGTGTAAAGTGGGAAGCTATATTTGCATGGGTGTAAAATGGGCTCCTTTTATACCTTTTTGGAGGCCAGATTACTAAGCATGATTCATCACATGGATTGGTAAGAATGTGCTTACAAACCCTACCATTTGGTGTGCTGAGTCAGCTTGTTTTACTAATAATACATGTATCTTACAAAGCATGATAAATCAAAGGCATGAGTCATCTCATGGATTGGTAAGGTTGTGTTTACAAAGCAAGCCTTTTGGTGAGCTGAGTCATCCTATT